AAGGACTTCCTAGTGACTTCCCTCTCTCGTTCCCCGAGATCGAACATCGCCAGAAGGACGATGACGATATCAAGAAACTCTCAGGGACAAGCCAAACGACCAAGAAACAATCTTTTCCCAGAGGGGATAGTCCTATGAACTAGTAGTCAAGGATGACAAATTGTTGTCCTAAGTAGCAGAAAAGCTGTCGAATGGTATCATGTGTGCTGATGCATCCTGGCAGACTCGCACAGAACTTACCATCAGTCAACACTACACTGGAAAGGGTTGCGCAAGACTGTGCAGTCGTATGTCAGCGTTGCCAAAGCTGCCAACTGAACAAACCCAAACGCGTAAGCTGGGATTGCTTCCTCCAAAGACTTTGCGAGGAGATCCCTTGGAAAGACTATGTATTGACCTGATAGGTCCATACAACATCGGGGATCCAAGAAAAAGAATCCTGTCACTTCATTGCCTGACATGATCGATCCCGTAACCGGATGTTCGAGATTGCGAGATCTGCTCCAAAGCAGCCGACGAAGTAGCCATCGTTCTTAGAACAAACGTGCTTACTCGGTATCCATGCCTGCTGAGGTTATCATGGATAGGACGTGAGTCCGCGCAGAATCGAGAAACACTCCGGGAGAATATGGACTCGTTCGCAATCATTACCACCGTAACCCTCAAGCCAACTCATGTCGAGCGTGCTCATCAGACCATACGTAACTTGAGCTGTTCAAAAATCAAGTGACAAGACGACCTCGTGAATGGATCCTGGGATGGAGTCCTCAGGCGGTTCGGTTCGCAATGAATGCCACGATTATACCACCTTGCGTGCAACGCCTGCACAGCTGTGTTCAATCGTGACGCGATTCACAACGTCCGTTTCGAAAACTGGAAATACATTAAGGAACGTCGCCAACGACTTATCAGAAAAACAATGATAGGAGAACGCGACGTGTGTCCCTCATCAATACAATGTCAAGATATGTGATGATTCAACAGTATCAGCACCGCAAGTACGGTCAGCCAAAGTACAAAGGTCCTTACAATATAGACCAGTCAATGACAATGGCACTGTACGGCTCCGACATGCTACCGCCAATGGCGGCACAGTCTACCAGACTTTGAACATAAGGTATTTACACCATACAAGGCCTGATCCCCTTGTAGGATTGCCATCGTGCGACGCACATGTCTACATCCAAATCTGAGAGTGCCCCGCACTTTAATTCATATGTTCTCCTTGTCCGACTGATGTCGTTGCCTCCTGTGACCCTTGTCAGGGGGCGAATGCAATACACGGCTCTTAGCCTTATTCGCGACTCGATCCTAGATAGGGTTTGAGTTCGACTCATGACGTAGTCCTTCGCGAATAGGCTAGTCATTGAGACAGGGTTCTCATAACTGCTAGTCATACTAGGTTGTCGATGAAACATCGCTCTAGATATTTAGCCGGCGTGGAAAGCTTCTACGCTACTAGACAGCTACTAGCTGAAGTTTCCACGTGTTCCAGAAATAGACCGTGGAGTACGTAGAGTTATTACCATAACCTACGATATCACACTTCGAGGCCTCCCGCGGGAGACCAACTTCAATGAGCTTCACAACGATCTCTCTCATGGATTAGTTTTCGTAGCTTTCTAATCTCTCTCATAACTTTCATTCTCTCAAACTCAAAACACTCGAAAGATCTTTACACTAGCTTTTAGCGTAGTGCATGACTCCACATTGTATTATCAATTACTGTCGGATTTGCAATGGTTGGAAGCTCCAAGTCATGGTAGAGTCGATTGTTCTCCTTGAGCCAGTGGAATGCTTCTTTTACCCATTCCACATTTACGTGCATTTTTTTCAGCACCCTTTCTCTCTGCTCTGGAGTGAATGGGCCAGAGAGAACCACAGCAATATTGTTTGAATCAGTGAATTGTTTTACTGCCTGCAACACTGATGTGGTGTGAGCTGGATCCACTTCATAGAAGCTGTGCCATCCTTTGATACTTCGATGTGATCCACCCCAAACGGCAAACAGGTGGCCTCTGAATCTTGCCTGCGACAACAAAGCAAGTTCAATCTCGTTGAATCTTTTCAAACATGGAGGTGCAGTTCCAATTGCCATTGCGTTGGCAATGGCAAATCTTGGGAGCTCTCCACTCTACAGCTTCTTGTTTGTGAGACCGGTACAGCGCCATCTAGTACTAGTTGCTTTCACTCGATAGACCATGGTAGGATCCTACGTAGACTCAGTACTAGGGCCTACGTGTGACGTCATATGGTCTTAACCTGCAGTGAAAAAGAATTCGCTGTGGTGTGGTTGAAATCTTCAACCGCCGGTAACTCCTCTTCTAAGTACACTCTGAGGTTGGGAATTTTGTGGCATACTCAACTACATGTGTTCTCTCGATTCCCTGCTTTAATAGTACAAATTCGATATCCAGCCCTGAAGAGAATATTCCACGGAATGGTCGGTCTTAATGTGCAGATTACTCTACCGGTATTAATAGGATACTACCGGTAGTATCTATTTTAATTTTAAAATAGTATCCAAAAGATGTTGGCGTGTTGCAACTCCCACGCTTCTCCTCTCGGAAGGTAAGTTCCCTGGAAGGTCCCGCAAATAATGAAATAGTTTAATTATTATGAATTCCTGATTAATGTGTTTAATAGCGTGTCCCAAATAGTGAAGTTTCGACTTTTTTTCGAGTTTCGATTTCGACTTTTGTTTCGACTTTTGATTTTTGCTAACTCAAAATCGAAACATGAAACTCGAAACTCGAAATTTCGACTTTTTTTGCCTCAGAAGAAAAATAGTCGAAACTCGAAATTACGAGTTTCGACTTTATTTTCGACTCTGTTCCACTAGTGATCAACCAAACTCACTAGTGACTAGCTAGTCAATACCGGATAAGCTAGCTTAGACTACTGTAGGGTACCGGTACTGGTATCTCATATGGCACGGCACCGAGCAACAAGACTATGACACGACAACATCCGCACAACAGTCGTACCACTACCACTACCGCTTCTACTGACTCTTGTGTTGTGGACGATTGACCGGTCGCTGTTGTTGTTATGTTTCGGCCATTGTGGAGCGAGGAGAGGAGAGGAAAGAAAAGGGCATGGCTTTCGCTGTTATCGTTGGTTGAATTTTATGGAACTGACAAACTGACTGACTGGAGAGGATCGACTAAAGAGGTTGTTTCGTGCGTCGGAACAGTCGGAGAGGTTCCGACTGTTTACCCTCTCTTAACCTTCCGTTAGACAACGACCAGTAAACTAGGCTAGCAACAAGTTCAATTTTCCATCTTCTGGTATACATTGGAATTGTCTGTAGATTGTCTCAGAATGTGGAAAATTGTTGTTGCAGCTCTGGATACCACTTTGTGCATTCCCACGAACCACGTTGACAACACACATGGTCGGTTAAGAGAGGACTTGCGAGGGATGGCCACCGACTGATAAACATGATCCAACGTCAACCATCCTATTTCCTCTTTCATTATTTCGATCTCTTGAAGAAGTCTCCACCATGACATTACGGTAGGCTGGAAGCAGCGGCAACAGCATCACTATGCTCATTCTTCCCTTCGACAGAACGATTTGGTGGATGACTGTTTCGTGTTGTTGTTCGGCGGAATACTACAGGTTTCGGTAGGCATCATTGTTGCATCGTTGCGTCGTGATTAGCTAATCAAGCAGATCAAAATGCCTAAAGGTACAGAGTCACCAAATACACCCAAGCCTCCAATTCCTATCGTCTTAGCTCTTGTCTCCTCATGGTTCATCATGGTCGAGACGATTGTGGAATCATCAGGTCTTCATCTTGTTGCTGTTGTGTTGGTGGCAGTGGTTGCTGAGTCATTCCGGAAGAAGCATGAAACATGAAACTCGAAACTCAAAAAAAGTCTTATTTGGGACACAAATCTAAAAAACTAAAAATATATTATTTTCGACCATGAAAGAAGTCAAAGCTCGAAATCGAAACTCGAAATCGAAACTCGAAACTTCACTATTTGGGACACTGTAATGGTGATGAATGGTGATGAATTTATCACCAATTTGTTGAATGGTGATGAATGGTGCTGAAAATGATGAATTCGTGATGACTGGTGATGAATGGTGATGAAAATTAGTACTGTTTTACTATAGAGATGATGAATGGTGATGAATGGTGATGAAAATGATGAAATCGTGATGAAATGTGATGAATGGTGATGAATTCATCACCAATGTGTTGAATGGTGATGAATGGTGATGAAAATGTTTAATTAGTGATGAATTCAATTCAGGCTGCCGAAGGCATGAGCCCTCAACGAGTTTGACTTTGATTGGCAGTGGCTAGCTGGCTGCAGCTGTAGACCTAGCTCTAGCCAGCCATCTGTTTCTCTTTTGGTAGTCTACCTCTATTAGGGTTAGGGGTAAAAACTGTGACACACAGAGGGACAAACACACAAACGCACAAACATACAAATAAAATTCACAAGGGCCCTAACCAAGTTGAGGGATAAATAAAATTCACAAGGGCCCTAACCAAGTTGAGGGCTATTCCAGATTTTCATGTTTCGCTTCCTGGCACTATTATTGCACTAGACTATTATTGCCGTATTAAGCCTCACTCTTCGACCAACGTTCGGACCTACATGTACCTACCGGTACCGTTACTCCAGGCCACACTCTCCCAGACCAACTCCAAGGCCAACTCCAAGGCCAACTCCAGGGCCAACACCCGACCAACTGTTGGTTCTAGACTACGAACCCCACCTGCTCCGGGCAGGTCCCAGACCAGGACCTACCCCTGGTCCATGTCAAGGCCATGTGGTCCCACACTGTTAGTACAGTATACGCTGTGCTTGCTCGCCTGTGGCTGGGCTGTGTGGAACAATTGAACTGTCACTCACCCTCGAGCAGGTTTTTGCCTTTCAGGAACTCTTTTGCGGCCAGGAAACATGAGTGACGGAGAGAGAACTAAGGAAGCCAGAACAGTATTTGGCTACCGGTATCTAGGAGGGAGTAGCTTGACGAGTGATGAATCCCTTCAGAAATGCATTTAGAAATTTGATTACGACGTACTTTGTGAATTCCTAAGGGATGCCAACGTTTGCCGAAATGGAAGACAGAGGAGCGCGAGGATTCGTCCCCTTTTGCTGCGCGAACCTGTTGCGGGTCATGTACTTTGGATGGACCTCATCAGTATTGTCATCGCTGTCATCATCACCAGGCACATCTTCTTCGTTGTCGTTGTCGCCTTCGTCGCTTCCTGTTTCGTCCTCGTCGTCATCTTCTCCGGCCAACAACTTTTCATACGCCTCAATCAGGTCCGTCTTTGACTTTTCCAACGCCATCAACTCTTCCGCCTGCTCGCGAATTTTGCGGCGCTGAGCCTGGACAACATCTTCAACATCTTCGTTGTCGTCCCCGGTAGCTTTCAATGCTGCCATCTCGACAAGGCTTGCTCTTAGTTCATCAATCTCCCGTTGCTTCGTCGCCAATTCCTCCGTGTGAGCTTTTGCTTGCCTGTTCATTTCTTCCTCTGCCTCCTCGACCTTGAAAAGAAGAGTATCAATCTGCTCCGATGCATTTTCTTCCCGTCTTCTTTTTTCGAAGACCCCTACGGACTGACGAGATTGACCCTTCATCTTTTCAATGATTTCCAAGTAGTACTGCTTCGTTTGATCAAGCTGTTCGTCCATCTCGGCCGACACTTCCAAACGAACCCTCCCCTCGACCTGCCCTAGCTCTTCCGTTAGTCTGCTATTCTCGAACTTGAGATTTTCGACTTCCGCGTTTGCAATGGAAAGAGCCATCTGGAGTGATTTCATTGCATTCTCGTTGGCTGGTCCAGGTGCAAGTTTCGATACAGCTTCTCGAGGAGGATTACAAGCAGCACCTGGCTTGACGCCACGAAGTTTCTTCGTTTTGTGAGCATCTTTGCTTGAGTTGCTGTTTGTGGAGGAGGGTGCGTTGAAAGAGGCAATTCGTGCTGGACCCGGTGCAGCTTTGCGCTTGCGTTCGGCATCTTTACTACCCCCGGGCCTCTTCATGAGCTTCTTTGGAGAGAGCCTTTTCATCAGTTTCGAAACCTTCGAAACAGCAGATGCCTTCTTGACTGGCCTGTCCGCTGGCATTTTAAACTCCTTGATTTCGACCATCTTTGCCTTGGAGGCATACGAGAGAACGTGATTCGTCTCGTCGTAATCTGGGGCCGCGGGATTTACATTAACGATCATGGAGATGCTCGAGGACGTCCTTCCCGTCAAGACTGGCATGAACAAATGCGTCAGCTTGCTATCTCGAAAGGGGATGACCTGACTGGAGCCTGTAGAAGACTGATTCTCTCGAATGATGGAGAGGCACCTCATGAGGGTCGTCAAGCTTTTGTTGATCAAGGATGCTTCCTTCTGCCGCAGTGTCCCAACATTCGTTCTCTTCGACCTTTCACTCCCAGCAAGATCGACAATCCAGAGAGTGATTGGCTTCTGCTTGGAGATTCGAGAGGCCTCCTCATCGGTACTGTAGCCATTGTTGGAAGTTAGAGACGATGCTTGACGCATTTTTGGAATGTTCGCGCTTCTCTTGATAATCTGCAGCTGAAAGATACAATGAGAGCGAGAGGAGTCGCTGTTCAGATTGTTCGATGCTGTGTGTCGCTTGGAATTGGCTTGCTTCACAAGCTGGAGACCCTCTTTCACGTCATTGACGGCATGTTTTACAAGTCCCCTGACAAACGTATGCTTTTGATTCTCACGTAGCTTCAAGGGCTCTCGTATATAAGCTGGGTGTCGAATATTCTGCTGCTGCTCTAGCAAATCATAGATGTTCTCGTTGTGAATTTCCAAAACGCTCACGTAGAGGTCAACAAAGGAGAGTCCTTGTTCTTTGCTCTTCAAGTGGTTGATATTATCGAGCACACCCTGAATTGCTCGGGGAACGATGCCACAGTGCATTTCGTTGATCGGCTTTCCATGCGACGACGGCATTTCGCCCAGGATACTGTAGGTTTTGCCTGCGTTGGTAGCGCCATACGCAAAGAGCAAACCAGATTCCGGCTCCCTGTTTTCGTCACGTGGGAACATTTTGTCCACCATGGGAGCAACCACTGTTGTGTATAAATCTTCGTTTTTCTTTTCTGGCCCAAAAACTTGTTGAAAGTCGTATTCTCTAGCAGCCATCTGAGAGTCAGATGGAAGTCCTTTGCTGGAGTTGCTTTCGCGATTCATCTTGGCAACGTTGGAGTTTCTGGGAGCATGGGTCCTGACTTTCGTGGACGGATCTCCTGGCAAAATGTCGATTGTATTGACTGCCCCTTGTTTGGGTGGCCGCACTCTCAAAAACACAGATACCCGTCTATTCGCGCCTTCGGCAACAGCTAATTGTCTTGCAGCAGTGTCACCCATTGATCGGAGATGGGAGGGCTGCATTGGTGGCTTGCCCGAGGCAGCGTCTGACTTCTTTGTTGCCAACCTGGTAGTCGACTGATCTGCGTTGTTTTTGCTTTGATCTATCCCTTTGCCACCAGATGAAGGCGGCGCTTTCGTGTCATTGTCCGCTTTCGATCTGGTTTTCTGTGCTTCTGAGGCTCCGACATGCTGATTGAACGTTTCTGTCAAGTTCCTTCGCAAATCCCACGACGAAGCAGCAAATCCGTAGGAAGAACTGTAAGGGTACTGAAAAGGACCTCGATTGTTGCTTTCTTCCTCGTTCTCCATGGTTTGATTGATATTCCCCGTTCTTGCAATGAATGAACGGTTGTTCTGGCCCTGAAAAGAAGTGGTTTTGAGTTTTGAAGTTCAAAAAGATGAGGGCTTCAAATAATGTGAGCACGAAATGCCGAGCAAGTTAAACGGCTCGTTCAGACACGAGTCGAGTCTTGAGTCGAGGTCTTCAACTTTGCTGTTTTATCTACTGTCCGCTCTCCTGCAACGCTATTGCGGTTGCCACTGCATGTATCTAGCTTTATGCATAGTACTGGTAGCTACCGGTAGATAGCCAGACTTTGGCTTTGACAAGGGCCCACTCCACTCCAGTACCATGCCGTATCGGTACGGTACATGTAGTGTTGCAGCGGCCTTCGTAACTTGGATTTGAAACGTAGGATGCACTGTTCACATCTGTGATTTGATTTGATTCTTCTTGTTTCAAGCACTGTTCAAAGAATCTATGATGAACGTAGTCCAAGGTTGCTTGCTCCGAGAAAGAAATTGCGAGCCAAGCATGTCCTTCTTTCCAATATGAGACCAGAGACGAGGGAGCTACTGGTGGTACCAGGTACTGGTTCCGTACCGTACGCAGCATGGATGTACTAGTATCTTCGCAGTGGCAGGTCTCGCAGATGCATACTGGTACCGGTACGTACGTCGCCATCATATTTCAATTCCCGAACTGCTAGACTAACACTAATGCCGCATAGCCGAAGGGGGCTAGTCTATCGGTGCGCTTACTGGCTGCCTGCTCGGTAGCCAGCTAGAGTACACGTAGCTAGCGAGAGGCTATCGTCGCGTTACCAGCAGAACTCCAGCAGATCAATCAACCAGGGGCTATTCATAATTCTAGCTAGATTCTAACTACTAGCTAGCTACTGCAGTAAGAGCTGCGTCAAAGAAAGCGAAAGCATCATCAGCATGGCCCAACATCCCTGGCCCCAGGTACATCTATCATGCATGGTTCAACCCCCATCCGTTTAACGTTCCGTGATCGGTTACGCCGCTAAATCTCTACCCGCCCACCTCGTTCGACCTTTCGCCTCGCACTCGCTTCGGCACTCACTTGGCGATACTTGGGAAAGTGGAGGCAGTCACAGGGCAAAGCACTTAGTCATCAGCGAAAGGACGGGCGAAAACGAGGACCGCGAGAGTGCAAGCAAGAAATTTCTGGATTAATTTTCCTTGCTGCGAATTCAACGCAGACAAGTGCCAGTAATGCAGAGGCGTCGAGTAAACGAATTGCCTCATTGCCTTGCAGTGCAGGGTTAAGAGCTACTTTGCGACAGCACTGCAAAGAATCGACATCGACAACACGGAGTCTCACAACGCACAGGTGCTTGTGCGCTGGATTCAAAGGTTTGGTTTCAAACTCGAAAGATAACAGTTGCACTATAACTCTTACCGGACGATGGACTTTGGTTGCTGCTCGGCGGCCCAAGACAGGGTTGTCGAGGATGATAGCGGGGATCTACCGAACTCAATGATTTCGTACTCTGACTCTCTGGGGTCCTTTGATTGCCAAGCGAACACTCTCAGCGTCGACTATAGGAACGTGACGCCTTTGTTCAGGGCACTAGAACAAGAAGATTGGAAGGCCGTCCTTGTCTTCCTAGCCACTGGGAGATGGAGTAGCTCTCCTTTGTCTAGCGCCTACGACTATCTTCACGACCCTTCACCAGAGCGCCAAGCGCGTACATGGGTACACTGTACCGGGTCCAAAGGCGAGACACAGTGGAAGCAGCTCCCACTTCACGCCGCTATATCTTATTTGGCTCCCTTGCCGGTCGTTCAGAAGCTTGTGGAGTTCTATGGTGATGCCCTCAGGAGTGCTGATGACACAGGGAATCTCCCGCTGCATCTTGCCTTTGGCTTTGGATCTTCTGACAGCATAGTGGCGTACCTGATCAAAGAGTATCCACAGGCGCTTTCCATCAAAGGATTGCAAAATCGTCGACCGGTGGATTGCTGCGACCTTGGACCGAACAAATTGAGGGGTGAGATCATCCGAGCATGCCAGGAGCACACCAGGTCCTCAATGATGAAGGATTGGGACCAGCACTGGAAAAAGAGCCTGCATGATGCCAAACAAAGGGCCGGCCTTTTGGATCAATTTTCAGCCAACTCTCAGACCCTTGAAGAGGTATTCAATGAACTTGTGCAAGTTAAGATAGAGCTCAAGAAAACGCAAGAACTCGCAAAAAGCCGCCCAACAATGATCATTACCAAGACAGAGCCAGTGCCCGATGAAAAGGTTCCAAGGTCGCTCGGGAAAGCACCTTCTGAAATGTCGAGGATGGTTTCCTTTTCAAAGAGACTCAAGCCGAAAGCAATACTACGTTCCATCAGATCTTCCCAGTCGTCAACTGTTGCTCCCAGCTCAAGCGGCAAATGAAAATGACTTTAGAATGTCCGTCTGTTTAAAATGTCGTTTCCCGTTCGGAGCGTCGAGGATCCCCCAATGTTGGCCTACTCTTTAGTGGCCAACTAGAGCTAGCTCCACTCCTCTACTATGATATCACTTCTATCTAAAATGTTTCTCTAATACAAATTCATTTTTCAAATATAATTGTCTCAACCTGGTACTGATACCATCACGAGGTGCCGGTCTGATACCTTTAAAAAGTGTCTAAAAAAGCTAATAAGAGAACTCCTTTTGTTTCTGCGCATCTACTTTTATTCGCTCTGTGGCAAGGCCCACTATGTCATCTTAATGTTACTGTCCAATGTATGGTAGCCAGCCTAGCTAGCCATTCATTCGAGGCTCCAGATCTTCCTGACACAGGAAGCACCTCGGTACCGGTATGGTACCGTATCTACCGCTACCGATACCGGTACCAGGTACAGCCTAGTCTACAGAGCTGTCCACATACAGTGCAACGAAAAGAGGATATCTGCGAAAAAAGTGAGGACCGCACGCCAACTTCCTCTCATCGGTTCAGCGAAAACTTGTTATGATTACTTAGACATTTCTGCCCTAAGAAGCCTGCATAGCATCTCCAAACACGGTTAATTAGAGTTGGTACCACTAAGATTGGATCCCTTGCCATTCGCCAAAGCTTCGGGCCATCGCAGCCATTACCCACCTTTTCGACCAGAAGTTCGCTCATCATCTTGTCTTGGCTGTGGCTATCGCAGTGGCGATCAGTACTCTCCAAAGAATAGTGCTCCGCGAGGCACAATCCGTCACAATCTATTTGCCGCACTAGAAAAGCACCAGTAGTAGAAACAATGGTTTGGAGTGCTTTCGGCTGGCCCGAAGCCGCCCCGACGGTGCAATCTAAGGATGATTCTGAAGCTGATTACCCCGAATGTGACTACGACACTAACTTGACTCCACTTTACGAAGCCATCGAAGAGAGGGCATGGATCGCTGTCAATCAGTTCTTGCACTCTGGCTACTGGCCAGAGTCGCTCTTCGCTGACAAAATGACACCCGAAGAGCAATCACGCACATGGGTTACTCGTTACGAAACGAGAGAAGATGGATCCAAGAAAGTCAGATGGAGCCAACTGCCGATTCATGCTGCTGTCATCTTCGGGGCTCCCTCAGTTGTTATCCAGCAGCTTGTGGAAGCCTTCCCTCAATCTGTTCGTTGTACTGATGATCACCGCATGCTTCCACTGCACTTGGCGTTCCGTCACGGATCTGATGATTCAGTGCTTGCATTGTTCTTGGATGAATTCCCCGAAGCTGTAAATGTCCGTGGATACAAAGGCCGACTCCCCGTTGAGTGTGCAAAGAAGGGCCCCAACCCTGAGCGTGGCGCCATCATTCAAACAATTCTGATGAAGAACCAAACTGCGTGGGAACGGAAAAAGTCTGCCGTGCAACTCAAGGAGCTTTACTGTGTGAAGGAAGCTCTGAAAATCAAGGGCCAAAAAGTATCCCATCTTGAGACAGCCATTCGAGAAATCAAATCTCGTGAACACAAGACACGCAAGGAGTTGGCTAGCACCATGACTGAACTGAAGGCTGCCAAGATCAAGTCCAAGGATGCTGCAGAGGCCAACAATGACCCGAACAACGCCCCCCGGGATGACACTGCTGAGAAGATGGCTGTGAAGAAATTGGTTGAGAGACTTGCTGGGTTGGAGATGGCCACCAAGGATTTGGTGGAGAAGGAAAGGTCGACCAAGAAAGAGCTCAAGAAGACAATGGCAGAGTTGGAGGCTACCAAGAAGATGAAACCAACTGAAGACCAAGTCCAACAGTTTGCCAAGCTTGAAAAGGTCGCATCCAAGGAAAGCGGCCTCTTTGAGGGAAATGCAAAACCTAGCAAAGCCCAGTCAGAGCCCGACAAGATGACAGAACCAGCCCAAGCAGAGCCAATAAAGTCGGCAAAGGCAGAGAAGAAGGCAGAGAAGAAGGCAGAGAAGAAGGCCGCTGAGCCAACGAAGGTAGAACCAACCAAAGTCGAGCCTGCACCTGAGCCTGTACCTGAGCCTGTGGAAGTTGAACCAACGACAGCACCCGAGCCTGAATCGAAGGCAGCTGAGCCAGCCGCGACAGAATCCGTCGCAGGTCAGGATGCAAAGTCAGTTTCTTCCAAGCGCAGTTCGAGGAAAAGTGTTTCCTCCCCCTTCAACATCTTCAAGAGTGCCGAGAGCCTTGTCAAGAGTTTCATCGAAAAGCCAGCTGAAGACCCCTCTAAGTCGGAGCCGGCTGAAGAGCCCCCCAAGTCGGAGGACCCCTCGGAGCCGGTTGAGGAATCTTCTGAGCCCGCTGATGGACCTTCCAAGGTCAAATCTGTTGAGCCTGCCAAGCCTGAGCCTGCTCCCCCGGTTCATAAATCTCTATCACGCGAGATGGATAAGGAAAGGCTCCGCCAGGTTGAAGAGGCCAACAGAGCTCTGGAGGAGAAGCTCTCTCAAGCCCAAGATCTGGAGAAAGAAAGGATTCGCCAGGTCGAAGAAGCCAACAAAGATGACGAGATCAAAGACTCGCCGTCTCGAGAGATGGAAAGAATCAAACTTCGCCAGGTGGAGGAAGCCAATGTAGCCTTGGTGAAGAAGATCAAGGAATTAGAGGTGACTATGGAGATCAACCAAGACAGGCAGGCAAGAGCACTAGAAGAGTATGAAGCTGTCAGTGTCCCGGACCACAACAACCGCTTCACTGGGCATCAAACCGAACAGATGGCTGCCATCCAACAAGAAATGAAATTGTTGAAGGTGACCTCTGAGAAGACCAAGGCTGAGTTGGACACGGCGTTGGACCAACTGGCAGAACTCAGGAAGCAGCAAGAAGCCGGAATGACGGCGGCCATGGCTCACAAAGCCAAGGCTGACGAGGCGACGGAAGAGAGCAATAAAAAGCTTGAGAAGAAGGTTGCCCTACTGGAATTGGCTTTGAACCAGTTTGAGGGAAAATCTATCTTGGCTAGAGAGGAGATGCAAAACATCCAGAAAACCATGAAAGACGATTCCACTGTGAAGCTCACAAGATCGCAAGAAAAGCACTTGGCCTTGTTGGAAGCTGCGATGAAGAAGCTCGAGCAGAACGCGGAGAAGACGAAGAATGAATTGGATAGTGCTTTGGCTGAACTGAATACCATTAGAGCAAAGGAGGCAGAAGAAGCAGCAAAGAAAGCTGCTGCTGAAAACGAGAAACTAACGTCAATAGAACTGGCGAACAAGGAACTTGAAGACAAGATCATTATGTTGGAGGCCACTATGAAAGGATTTGAAGAGAAAGCATCGAAGACCAAAGAAGAAATGGACCAAGCCCTCCATGACCTGAAGACTTCGGAGGTGGCAAGACCTTCCGATAGCCGCTCTGTTGCGTCGGGAAGCGTCGGAAGCATCAAGTTGACCAAGAAGCAGAAGCAGCACATGGAAGCACTCGAAGAATCCATGAAGAAGCTCGAGGAAAGAGCCAACGACACTAAGACTCAGTTGGATGAGGCTTTAGAGGAGCTCAAAACACTGAAGGCCACCGAGGAGATGCAATTTGTGTCCAACCAGGCTACGAGCCAGAAAGAGAGCAAGGCGATGAAGGATCTTGCCAAGAAGGTCCAAGCGTTGCAATCTGCGATGGTTGGTTTTGAGGTCAAGGAGACGAAGACAATGCAAGAACTCGAGAAGACAATGCGAGAACTCGAGACCGTTTCCAACAAACGTTTCGAGATCTTGGCGCTGGGCGCAGACAGAACAACAGAGCTCGCCAGCGATCCTCTGTTTACAAAAGAAGTATCGAAGCTTGAAAAGAGAGCCGTCAAAGAGGAGCAGCGAATTTTGGAATTGGAGCAAGCAGTCCAAGATATCGTAACCAAGAGTGGAAACACCAAGACTGAATTGGAGACAGCAACGACGTTGTTGGAAGATCTTCAGAAGAAACAAGACGCGAGGGACCACGCGCCAAGGACCAAGGAAGAGAAGGAAGAGGCGCGACAGGACAAGAAGTTAATGAAAGAATTGACGAAGAAGGTTTCGACCCTTCAGTCCGCGGTGATTGGTTTCGAAGTGAAAGAGACCAGAACCATGCAAGAACTTGAGAGCACCATGAAGCAACTGGAGGAGCTCACGTCGAAGAGGTTTGAAGTGTTGGAAAAGGCTTCTGCTATGAAAGAGCAGGACACTGAAAGGCTCGTCGCCGCTGGTGCACTGGCGGAAGAAAAGGTGACAGCTCTCCACGCTGCAATGAAGGATCTTGAACAAAATGCTGCGACGACCCATACAGAACTTGAAAAGACTAAGCTTGAATTGGAAGCTATGAAAGCTGCAAATGCTGCCGGGGACGGAGTCAGTAAGGAGGTCATCTCTTCTCAGGAAGGACAGATCCAGGATCTCAACGAGAAGATTACCGTGTTGCAGCAAGCGGTACAGGGCTTCGAAATCAAGGAGACGAAGACCATGCAAGAGTTGGAGCAGACAATGAAACAGCTCGAGGAATTGACGGCCAAACGTTTTGAGGTCTTGCAGAAGGTAGCTGGAAGAGAGATCGAAGCTGCCAAAACTGCAGAGGCCCACAAGTACTCCCAGAAGGCAGCTGAAGATGAAAAGAAGGTGGCTGCCTTGGAATTCGCCATGCGAGAGTTGGAGTCCAAGGCGTACAAAACCAAACTGGAGTTGGAGAGGACAATGAAGGGACTTGAGCACCTCGAAGAAACGCAGCAGACCAGTCAGCAGGTTTCTGGCGTCACAAAGGAAGAAAAGCGGGTGATGCGAGAACTGGTGAGTATGGTTGCTGATATTCAAGAAGCAGTCATGGCATACGACGAGAAGGAGAACAAAACAACCCAGCAGCTGGAACGAACAAGACAAGAGCTGGAAGCAACCAAGGATGAAGTCTTGCAACTTAAGGAGCAACAAGCCGCAACCGCAACCCGTCAGCATGAAGCTGAAATCAATATCGTTGCCACTGACGATAACCAGTCGCAAGTTGAGGCAGTGGAGGCGACTGATGCCGAAGAACCTAAGGAAAGCAAGGAAGCGGCAGAGACTGCGAAGCGGGTGACAGAAGAAACTTTGTCATCCTTGGAGACTGCCATCCATCGCTTGATGGAGCAAATCAACACGGAGGACGAAGAGGAAGTGGCGAACACCGCAGGCAAACTGGCTGCAGCTCTCAGCAACTTGGAAGCAAAGAAACCCATCGAGACTAAACAGCCCGAGGCGAAACAACAGCTCGAGGCGAAACAACAGCCCGAGGCGAAGAACTTAGTCCAAGCAGCCAAAGAAGCGAAAGCTCAGAGACGGCGTGGTTCGTTCTTCCGAAAGTCTGGGCGGGGATCCGCGAAGGAGGAAAAGAAGTCCAAGCAGAAGGGACAAAAGAAGGAACGCCGAAGTTTCTTTGGCTCTTTCAAGAAGTCTCGCACGAAGGCACCAAAGCCCGAGGAGGTGCTGGCTCAGCCAGTTGCCGCGCCTGAGCCCGTTGTCGAGAATGCGCCCGAGCCTGTAGCTGCTCCTGTTGCCGCTCCCGAACCTGCAATCACTGACGAACAAAAGAAGGCCATCGAAGCCGTCCACGGCAAAGCTATCACGGCCGTTCTCACCGATCAGCAGATGCTGGACCTGCTAAGCAAGATGAAGGAGGCACCTGCACCTGCCTTTGAGCCCGCTGCCGCGAAAGCTTCTTCACCTAAGAGTGCGACTTCCCCTAAGAGTGTGAATGTGACGGAAAATCAGGAAATCGTGAAAGTCACATCGTTGCTCTCTGGTGGAAGCACTGCCGGCAAGAGCCACGAGAGTCCTAGTGTTGCGAAGAGCCACGACAGCCCCAGCGTCCCCAGCGTCCAAAGCACAGGCATCAAAGAAGAAGATCCAAACATGATGATTGTTTCACTTCCTAGTCAGAGAAGCGAGAAATCCGGCAAGAGCAAGAGCAGCAAAAAGAGTAAGGCTAGCAAAAACAGCAAGGGCTCCGGCACAAGCAATAAGAGCGAACAGACGGAACCTATCACCAACCAGAAGAAACCTTCGAGCCCCAGCAACCGACAAAGCATTTCCCCTGCTCCCACTGACACTGTTGAATCCCCAAAATCCCCCAAAGAGAAGGATGTTCTGGTGACCGCTGGAACTTATGACGACGGTTTCGAAATCAATTTTTGAAGAGAGTTGTTGAATATTCATAATTTGCGGTGAGCCAGCAACTTTCTTCTTCCACAAACACCAAGCACCGGGAGCTGGGATATGTCCAATACAATATTGTGTCTGTTCAAGAGATATTAAATCAAAATCAATTTAGTAGAAAGAAAGTTTGCGTGTATCGTATGACTTCTGGTCTTTAGCTAGAGTACGTAGCAGTCTTGTGCTCTAGCTAGAGAAGTGACACTTAGAAATAGAGCTCTAGGTAGAGGAGTGGCAGGCTTATGTAAAGTCAGAGAGGGTTGCTTCTTTAGAAAAGCTACTATTTTTTAAGCGGCCGCGGGACAGTCCAATTGAACCTTCGGAGTTGCTTCTGCCTCCTTTTCCCATGTTTCTGTGTCGGTGGCAAATTCGCTGCCATCGTCATCTGGGTCAGAATCGGAATGGAGGTCAGCAAGAAACCTCTCGGAGGACAAGTTGAACGGGGCAACAATGTTTTTATCCTGCTGAAGGCTGCCTCTCCGTTCCTGCGGCCGATCATTGGCCACTAAGCCTGGTAAGCTGCTTCTTCGTGGCCGGCGATGTGCATGGACCATTGGGACGAGCAAACTCGAGCTGCTGGAGCCGGCGTAACCAACCCCGTTCTCCTGGCTCGTGTCAGGCACCAACAAGGAGTTACTATCTGACAAGGATGTTTGAAGGCCAGACAAGCTCATCTGAGACTTGTCCAAGCCAAACCGCAGGCTTGGCAAGGATCCATCTTCCATCAGACGAGAAGAATGGGTGGAAGAATGACGAGAATCGCTCATGATCGACATTGCAGACAGTGATGCGTGGCCATCTGCGGACAGCACAGCAATCACGTCTTGTTGGGCCCCGGGCGGCTTGGCCATGCTATGTCTAGAGCGCATTTCCAAGCCTTGGAGCTTTGATTGCTTCGTTTCTTCTACTCTCTCCACGTTTTGTTTCTTCACTTCCAATGTTGGCTCACGGCGGGTTGTTGTGGCGAATTCGTCATCGCTATCCGACTCTCCGTCCAGGTCATCAGGCATCGTTGGTCGCTCTTGTTTCAACGCTTGGAGGAGCTGTGAGTCTCTAACAGAAGAGTTTAGACAACGGCGTGACGACCTTCTTGACAAAGCCAGAGATCCGCACGACATTGACATATCCATGGTGTTCGTGTTCGATGCGCGAAGACGACTAGAGTGCTGACCGATCGTCCCGCAAGACTTGGGCACTTTTGGAGTTTCTGACGTTCGTGGACGACGACACCTTCTCACGCCCTCAGGCGTTGCAAGGCATGGCAAATCGTTCCTTGTCGTCGCATCAGACTTGGCTGATCGTACCGTGCTGCGCGGAATGATTTCTGATTTACACATATCGTTCGAAGATACGTCCAAAATGCCCCTTGCTTGTGTAGATCGCCTGGTACTGCAATCCTTCCTTGTCGTCGCATCAGACTTGGCTGAACGTACCGTGCTGCGCGGAATGATTTCTGATTTACACATATCGTCCGAGGATACGTCCAAAATGTCCCTTAGTTGTGTGGAGGCAGATGTTTCTTTCTTGGATTTGATACGCCGAGATGAGGAACGCCTAAAAGAAACATCTTTGGTCAATCGTTTGGAACGAGACTTTGACCTCCTCAAGGTGAAGGCACTTTCGGAGGCAGACATTCGCAACTCCTTTGCCTTGTTGGTGGATCCCTGACGACGACTTGCTCTGGTTCGTCTGCCCCTCTTGGTGCAATCTTTGGATGATTGAACCATCTGCGTGGACTCATCCAACGTAGCACTCCGTTTTGGAAGACTCTTAGCGAGTTTGGACTCGCTCTCCTTCACTTCCGGGGTGGACTTGGCCCTACGGATACGACCTGTTGAGATCCTCTTTTCGGAAGTTTTCTTCTTCCTTTCGGCCATTGCAGCAGACGTATCAGGTTTCTCTTCTCTAGGTGCACGACGAACGGGTACCTTCTTTGACTCTTCTAGAGACTTGCATCTTGCGAGTTGTTTACTTCGGGAAAGCCTCTCGTTAGTCCTTGTCCTTCGTGTCTTGGTTGTTGACTTAGCAGTGCCACCCCCTTTCTTTCCGGCTGTTGGTTCTTTTGTGGCAGATGTGACGAGGCGAGAAGCGGCTTCGACTCCGTGGTTGCTAATGGCAAAACTTAACTCAGTGAGACGTTTTGCTGTTGCAGCCTCCAACCCATTGGATTTTTTGGCAGCTTTGATCTTTTCAGCACTGCTTGGTCTCTTTATCCTTGCCAGGTCAGCGGAGGACCCCACTAGGAACACGTCTTGAACCGACAAGGGCGTCGCTTCTGCCGTGGAAGCGCATCTCCGGAGGGTTGACTTCTTTGTCATCTTTCCTTCCTGGCTCTTGACTCTTCTCAACGCACGGGAACTCTTTGGTTTTGAAAGACGCGGCAAGAGTGCCGGAAGTTGTTCCCCATTTGGTGGAGGCACTTGTGCTTCTTTCTTACCATCGTCACTCAGTTGCAAGTTGGAACCAGACGAAGCAACATTGTTATTGCTTGGTCTCGTTACCCTTGCCATGCCAGAGACGGAAATTTTGTTCACCTCAACGGTGGAAGAGCATCTGCGGAGTGTGGACTTCTTTGCCGCATTTCGTTCATAGCTCCTTACCCTTTGCAATGCACCGCCACTACCAGACAAGAGTGGTGGAACTTGCACTGGCTCTTCGTTGGTGCTGTCATCAGGGTTGAATTGTAAGCTGGAACTCGAAGCAGCATTCCATCGCCGGTCACTGCGCCTTCTTCTGCGTGAGTGCCCCGTCGGTGTCTTTCGTGCTTCGTCTTCTTCTGTCTCCCTCTCTGGAACGGTCTTGACAACGGCGACCGATTCATACAGCGCATTTTCGACAAAGCTCGAATTGGCAACGATGTTACCCAAAAGAGAGGAACCCACAGACTTGTACTTTCGTTGAGTCAATGGCGGAGCAGTCAGGTCGTCATTATCATGGCTGTGAGCTTGCCTAGTTGCGTCTTTCATCCTTCAGCAACAACACGGAGCAGAAATAAATAGTGGTGCCAATGAACAAATAAATGAACAGTGGTGGGTGGAGAGAGCTGTGGAGAGTCGCACGGAAGAGTGGTGGAGTGAAAGAAGAATGTGAGAGCCTCACCACCTCTTTGAGACCCCTAATTCCTAGCTCGGAATACTAGTTTAAATCGGGAACCCCCAGGGAAATAAAGCATTAAATTGGATGACCTCAATCCTGGTTTTGAAAGCTGAACGTGCATAATCAATAATTAATGTTACTTCGAATTGGAATTATGAATAGATCGGACTAAGACCCAGTACTAAAAATGGACAGTACTTGGAGTTCATAGCATAGTAAAACTACAGATCCGGTCATTGTCTTGTATTCTTCTTCTTACGGTCGTTCATCCGTCAGAGCAAAGCCCGCCACGCACACACGCACATCGGTTCACATGTTCACATTATTTATTTTATCTATCTTACGACTGTACAGTATGTTTAAATGTAGATACTGTACGCTGTACAGACAAACCGGTACCGGTAAAGACGTTCAGCTGAACTTAAATTTTTTGCCTCTTAAATGGTCCCAGATCGCAGCGGACCTTGCTGCCGGTGCTGTCACCTTTCTCAGTAGCCAAAGATGACGTTGTCATGCCTACTTCAGTTCTCTGTACATGTTGTGTGGAACCACGGTAGCCAAAGATGATGTCGCCTTGCATACCAGTACTTTAGTTTATATTTATTCGGTGCGAGGTCAGTGGGCGGTTGCCGCTGTAGCTACAACGGTGGCCACTGCGAGGATGCTTCTAAACATACGGTGTTCGGAGGCAAGCAAGGAATTTTTTACACGAGCTTTACGTCCAGATTGTACATCAGATTCTACCACTACTAGTAGTCTATCTTGAAGGCTCTTTCACCTCCAACACATTTATTTATTTGTCCTCCTTGCAGGAACACAGGAATCCAAACCTTTGCAACAAGCCATCCGTGTGGTTTCTCTGTGATTACTCTAAGATACAAAGTAAGTGCTTTGTGGCCGGGGTTCAATTGACATGACTTCACGTTCAGGTTAATTGTACAGTACGTACCGTAGCGGACAGGTAGCATTGTTGCTGCCCATGAAAATAATTCATACCTGGTGATTGCTGCTTCTTTAGGTCCTCTTTGTGATGTCTCTTTGATGGAATGCTCACATCTACCGTAACTAGTACTTCAACAGCCATGTAACAATTGAAGTCGAAGCTTTCTGCAAAATTCCATGCCTCGAACACTGTATGGGCACGAGTTGGCAGATTGAAGCCTCCGCTTTCCCCTCCATCTGTGTACCGATACAAGTACTCAATTTCAGCGTTTTTACGCCACACAAATACGGCGAATAGTGAACCCGAATCTATTCTGTTTGCGACAGAGCCAGTCTCCCACGCACGCAGACTTTTTCTGTCTCCCCCAAGGATTTCTGCCAACCAGGTCGGAGCCTATTTGTTGTTGTCGTAGGAAGGTTTCCGTTCTAGCTAGCTAGCGCTAGAACCCTTGTGCTGGTGCATATGGTTGCAAAGAGGCAGCCACCCATGTCTGTACGACTCCAGCACAAAAGAACGAAATGGAAGCTGCACCAATCGCGACAAGAGAGGCGGCCCCAGGCGTTCCATGAGTTCTTGGACAGTCTGCGGGGGACGAAAGGCGTTCTTCTTGGGTGCCTTGTGTGGCAAAACGTACTTTTTGGTGCCAGTAGATTGAGATGGTGGGGCGGTATTCCCAGATTCGAATTTGTGAATCAAGTTATCCTGTAGCAGATACATGCCGGACAGTGTGATAATTCCAGCCGAGTAGCTCCCAATAGATTGCAACGGGGGGGTATCCAGATCATACCGAAAGACTTTTGGATCTCCTTGAAACCGCCGGTACTCAAACGAGCCAACCTGGAGGGCAATTCTCTGCCCAGAATGCCAGAGATAGTAACCACATGCAAGAGCTGTGGGAGGCGCTAGAGTGACCGTAACACCGACACACATCCTTTCTCATCGCTTGCTCGGTCGACCGAGGACTCTTCATCAGCTCATCCAAGGCAAGGCTTCCAGGAGCAAGAATGAGGATGACGTCGTGCGCCAGCACCCACAAGAAACACCTAACCCTGTGAGCGTTAGCCGTGACTGATCAGTCCCACAGATTCGAATCTTTGGCGACGATCTCGTTGCGATGGACGCAACATGATCACTCGTCATCTCATGATCATCAACAAATCTGTGATGAATATGTTGACGATGGAGAACAATCGAGAAGAAGAAGAAGACCATGATGACGAGCAGCCAACGAACATTTGGCCGCAGATGACTGCAGAAAGTCTTCAGGAGCCGCTTCTTTCTGATTCGCCTTCTGTGTCTTCAGAGGACGACGGCCCCTCACAACGGGGAATGATCTTGTACTGCTCGCTATTCTTCTTTCATGGGATATCTGGCGTTACTTGGGGACGATTTTCCATTGTCTATTATAATTCAATACTTCATCTCTCTGAGGAACAAATTGGAGTCTTGCAGGGTGTCGTTCCCTTGATTGCCTTGCTCAGTCAGCCCTTCTGGGGTAGCATCAGTGATTGCTTCCGGTCAAAGAAGATGGTCTATCTCGTTTGCAAATTTGGCAGTGCACTCTTCCTCTTGGCGCTCTCCTTTCAGAATCTGGTGCAAACCTTTCCCCAAATTCTCTTTTGTGTGATTGGTATGGCCATCTTTCGATCCTCGGGGGTACTTGACAGCCACGCCCTTGACTTTCTCGGAGAACGACATCGCGGGTACTATGGGAACATTCGCATGTGGGCATCCATCAGCTGGGGACTTGGTTGCATCCTGATGGGATATATCACGGACAAATACAGCTTCGAATGGAACTTTGTCATCTTTGGGGTTATGATGACTTGCATGTTGCTGTTGGCGGCAATTGGATTGCCCAGCAAGACCAAGGCAGAGCAAGCCCAATACGAACATGCGGTGACAGCAGCCAACGGGTTGCAGGATGCTGGCATTCCTCGACCCAAGCTAGCAACTCTTTACGATGCCGTGTGTCGGCTACCTGTCATCTACTGGCTATTGCAAGGGGTTGTGCTTGGTGCTGGCGTATCCCTGGTGGATAGTTTTCTGTTTGTCTACTTGCAAAACGATCTGCATGCGTCCACAACACTTTGTGGTTGGACTGTAGGTGTTACGGTTCTTTTGGAGCTTCCAATCTTCTTCTATTCACAGAGTCTACTCAAGAATCTGGGACACGATCGGCTTTTTGTCTTGGCCATGGCAGGGTACCTTCTGCGTGTCTTTGGATACACCTTACTCAAGCCCCGGACGGTGCATTACATTTTCGCCATGGAAATCTTGCATGGTGTGACTGTGGGTTGCATGTGGATTGCCAGCGTCGATTTTGCAGCAGCCATTGCACCGATTGAATGGTCCACGACAGTGCAGACAATGTTGTCCACGGCAATATTTTGTGTTGGTGGAGGATTGGGCCCCATGGTGGGTGGATGGGTCATGGAGCAACACGGCGCTGTTGCAATGTACAGGGGGGCTGGAGTCGTTGTTGGAGTGGCCATGTTAGGTCATCTTGCCTTGTGGGGTCTTTATGGAGAAGGACCGCATGGTAGACACCTGAAAAGGGTACGAGAGGAGAGACACCAGACACGGGCTGAAATGGACGCAACTCGGGAGAGCCCAGAGGGAGGATCCGATTGTGGCGAAGTGGAATAAGGTGCAATCAATGGGTGCAGATGCCGTGAACAGTCATAAGAGGTGGATTTCACACAAGCTGTGGTAAAGTGCCCGGGGCTCTGCTGGTGGATCCTAGCTACCCGGTAGTTCCTGGACCGACATCAGGACCCAAAGCAGAGCACCTGTCTCCTGGACCACAACCTTGAAGTAATTTTTGAATGCAGATCTCCTGCCCACTCCCCCGGACCGACACCATGGTCATATGCCCTCGCCACACCACTTCGGCACTGACGATGGTTACCGGTATGGACACAACCTTTTAACCCTTGGCCCTTGGATTCATCGCTATCATCATGATGGCAACATTCGTCCTACAGTATTTCAGTCTAGAAACTACTTGTAGTATCATACGATTTTGGTATCTAGCTATCAACTCCAGTACCGGTAGCTAGCTGCATGTATACCGGTACATCATACGGTAGGAGGAGACACCAAACATGGTTTGCATTCGAAAGCCTGACATCGCCATCGCCGTGCAAGGATTTGGTACCGGTAGCTGGCATATGCCATGGGCCACACAACAACAACATTTGTTGTGGCGGGCTTGTCAAAAAGAGTGACCATGGCAAAGGCTTCTTGAAGGATGCCGAAGCACTCATGGTAGATTACCTTTCCACCCTAATCTTCATGATGGCTGCCAAGCACTGAGACGCCTCGCCCTTTTCACAGATCTCGATATTGATGTCCCAGCTGAGAACCAAAGAGGAAATTGTCTCAATCTTCTCATTAGACAGACAATCTCCACCCCTCACAACACTTCTAGGGCCAGTGATGCTGGCATGCTTTGGGCACCAATTCTCAGTAGTGCCATTGTCATTAGTCCCTCGAAAGTTGAACAAGTGATGAACAAGCGTATTCTTCAGCTGCTCCAATGTTTCAGAGGGTGGAAGAGTGAGACTCTCCATTGGGGCTCTAGCAGCAAGAGCCAAGCACACAAAATCATCCTTGATTTGTAATGCCTTTTCCAACACCACATGGTGTTTGTGCTTGGACCTGTAGTCTTTGTCTGCCTCATACGGTGTGTATTGTGTAATGAAGACTCCAGCAGTTTCTTGGACCTCTGCTGCACTGCTCTGGACGGTGCTCTCGTCGGTGGTGGAAGAACTGCTCGTGGAGCTTGACGAAGAATCGTCGGAGCTTGTGGCGGAAGTCGATGACGACCTTCTAGTAGACAGGCCGACAGTCGTCGAAGATCGTCCTCAAAGCTTGACGAGGAAAAGCCGACAGTTGTCGAAGAATCATAGCTTGAAGAGGAAAAGCCGACAGTCGAGGTCGAAGAATCGAAGCTTGAAGACAGGACGACAGTGGTCGAAGAATCGTTCTTCGAGCTTACAATAATAATTGACGATGAAAAGCCCACAGTCTTCGAAGAATCGTCCTCGGAGCTTGAGGAAAGGCTTGTCTTGGAAGAATCGTTCTCGGATGCTTTGAAGGAAACAGCCACATTGGAGATCTTAACAGTCGATAGGTGACGAACACTCAATCACATCAAACATCTTGCAGGTGAATCTTCGTGTGCCTGGGAATCCGTCTCTCACCAAAGGAGAAATTCGAGCCAAAAATGAATGCTTGCATCCAAAGCTCCCCATACCAGATTAGGGTGAAGGTTGATTGTTCCTCGGAAGCTCACTGACGATTAATGCACCGTCGAGAGAGCCCTTTTCCAAACCTGCCCCCCATTCAATCCACGATTTGCGGTCTTGCTTGCAAGGGATCTTCGCCCTTCGTCGGCTTCTCTCACAACTCCAAAAATCGACGGCGACGACGATCGATCATTTATCGATACATGTAGCAAAAGCAACCAGCATCAAAGGAGACAAACAAAACTCGTCCAAAGCGCAAGCCAAAACTGAAGCAACCATACCTCCCACGGGAACAAACAGCGAAGCCCAAGCGACAACTTCCGCCATTCCGTCCACAGCAAGCAGCAGCAGCAGCAAGCCCAAAGAGAAGACAACGATGTCTTCCGTCCTTGTGCCCAGCCAAGCGGTTCGCAGCAGCAGCGACACCCACACAACCAGCGAAGCGTCGGCAAGCAATGCGTCGCCTCAGCCTGGTGGCGCCACCAATGCAGAAAAGAAAGGACGGAGGCGCAAGAACAAGAACAGAACGCGAGGCGCCCGAGGCGCCAACAAGAACAGCAACGATGGCTCGCCGAACGAGGAGGATGGCGCAAGAGCATCGGCAGAGGAAGGCAAGAAGCCAGACCGTAGCCAGAGCCCGGCAGGTGGAGCAAAAGGAAAGAACCAAAGACAGCGAAATAACAAGAACAAGAACAAAAAGAACCAAGAAGGGGAAAGCAAAAAGGGTCCAGAAGTGGAGAATGTCAAGGGAACCAATAGCAAAGATGCAGATGAACAAGCCAACAACAACAATATCAAGAGCAAAGGGAAGAAAAACAACAACAATAAGAATCGCAACAACAAGAACCGCAAGCGATATCCTTGGCGAAAGCGTATTCCAGCCGGAACTGTTGATCCCATCACATTGGATGCTCTAGTTTCTCTTCCATACCCGCCATTTGCTTTGTGGGCTGCTTCTCCCTACTTGCCTGTTCCTGTGTGGCCTCCCGCAGAAAACAACAACAAAAAGCAACAAAAGACCCCCGAAGAATTGGCTAAAGAACAGGAAGTCGAGGCACAGGAACGAGAACGACGACTGCTGCAGGAACAGTGGGGCACTGCCGTCGTCAACAAGGAGCCAGGCGAACAGCAGCCAAGCGAGGAATCAAACAGCAGCAACATCAATCGCCATGTCAATCTATTTGATGGCCGGGCCCTGGCGTACTACATGGTCTCGCAACTCCAATTCATTGATCCTCTGACTCGGAGGGATTTAGACAGGGACGAGCTGATCCAGCTGGACCGGTACTTGGTCAGGCACGGCTTTACCGATCTTAACGTCGTCGAAGCCTATGACACCAAAGGGGTCTCGCTGTCCACTGCCGGTGCCGCAAGCACCACTGCTGCTGGTCGCGCTGAAATCCTGCAACAAGAAGCACGCGTGTTACTCAATGCTCTGTTTGGTGGCGGCCCGTCTGCATTGCCGCCAGCACCACAGAACAACGCCCCAGTCAATGCGCTAATGGAGCAATATTCTAGCTACCAAGCGGCACAGCAGCAGCAAGCGCGACCCAGCAGCAACAACAACACTCGGCGTCCCGAACGCAACAATCGCAGCGCCTTTGACAATCCTCGTTCGAATGCGGAAGACACAGGCATCTACGGAGACGAAACGACGGGAATGATGATTATCGACGACGATTTGAACCCAAGTCTGCGAGGCGCAGGAGACAATCGAGCCATGAGACCCCACCGACCCCCCACTGCCCCACCAACGTTATGGGCTGGAAGCCGCATTGCTGGTCCTTCCGCAAACGCCGACAATCTACAGGCCGACAACTTTCCCGCCCTCTCGGTGACAGCGACTCTCCCGCCCCACCAGTCGCCCCTGAACACGAGTGCGCCATCCTTTGTTCCAGGGGGTGCGCCCGCCGTAGAGGCTCCTGCTGCAGTCAAGCGACAGCAACCCCCCAAAAAGAAGGTTCTTCCACCCGCGAGCTCTTTGAAATTCATTGCCGGGGCTGTCAAGAAGACCACCCCCGAAGAAGCACAACGCCAATTCGAGGCCAGAGAAGAAGCTAGGAGAAAGGCAATGATGGCCAACCTTAGATTCGGATCTGATCCGACAAGCTGGGACGCACCGACGTCAGCGGGGGCCCCTTCCTCTGTGGCGATGCCAAACGCCAGCGAGGCGCAGCTGGAGCGAAATCAAGCATTTGCCGATGCTCTCGGTGTTGCTGGACGCTCCGCCCCTCAGAGCTGGGCGCGGCCTACAGACATGGAAAACGCCGCGGCCATCGCTTACCCCGATGCACTGATCTTGCGGGCTCGTGAGAATATGGGTGCCCTTCTCAAACTTGAGAAGAAGTGGAAGTCGTTTTTGGAAGACGACAAGGCAGCCTCGTTGCCGCTGAACCACATGGACCGTCCGATGCGAGCCTTTGTACACGAGTACTCGGACTATTGGAAGCTCCACACCGAGTCATTCGACAAGGAGCCCAAACGCTACATACATTGTGTCAAGCTCTTGGATACGGGCGCTCCTTACCCTCTTTTGTCGGACGCGGCCAGACACTGGAGAGGTCCAACCGGCGCAGGAATTTCGTTGGGCAGAGGTCAGCAAACCGCAGGACAGGATACCTGGGGCAGTGAAGTTCGAGCCCCCATAGTGACGGATCTGTCGGCTGCAGCACCCACAAACTCCCGTGCGGCGGCATTGACATCGGCCAGGCCAAAGCTGGAGTTGAAGGAGCGGACTCTTCCCCTCGAGCTCCCTCCGTTTGAGCCGCCCACCAAGACGTCCGAACTGGAGGCCGAATCAGAGGAACAGATCCGGCGCAGGAAATTGAGGATGGAGGAACAGAAACGAAAGGAACAGGAACGGGAGGAACGAAAGCAACGCGCTCTTGAGGCTGCCTTTGCCAGTGACTCGGAAGAAGAAAGCCTGCGTGGAATGGGCGAAGATGACGATGATAGTTGGGTGGAAGGAGAGGCGCTCTACAACAGCGAAGACGAAGCCGACTGATAGATGGATGACGATGACGATGATACTTGGGCGGAAGGAGAGACCAGCGAAGACGAAGCCCAACCCAAGCCCAACTAAAAGATCGGCACCGTAGAATTGCCTAAGATAGAGCTGGAGAATTTTAAGTATTTTCAATGCTTGATGAAGATTGTCATTCGCGTAGCAACGGAGCGCCATTGGTGTCTTTGTTTGTAGCGCTCTTCCAACACGGGGCAATCAATGGCTGTCCCTTTTCCAATCTTCAGTCGCCGGTTGGGAACTCCTGTGGTTTCATTCCAGGTCCCATGCTAGCATGCAAAACCCGTGCCCCACGAGTCCCTTCCCGGCTGCGGTATCCACAAGCCGCAGTCACCAGCCCTCACACAATTTAATGCAGGCATGCCAAACATCGATGCCAAACATCGATGCCAAACATCGTCTCTGTCGTTTGGCTCGAGGGAGAGGTCAAACACTGTTTCCTCCTCGAGCTAGCTAGACAAGAACATCGTCCCTTAGTCGTCAAAGCTGCAATGTCCATGTCGGCGCATCATGAAATCGACAAAAGAAAGAGGACAGGCATCAACACTGGAACGACAAGTCGAACCTGTGATGGTAAGTTAAACAATTAGCTTTGGTTTTGGGGATTGCTGTGCGACACCTACAAGAAGACAGAACTTTAAGCTATATAAAGAAAGCTAAAATCGTATTACATGGAAAACAGTTAGTAGTACCAAACGTGGATGTGAGCGGTGTTGCGTGGAGTGACTTCCACGATGTGGACTTTTGTGATAAGTGACAGCAAAACCAACGTCATTTGTGCTTTTGCAGCTCTGTTAGCTTAGAGGGAACCAAGCAAGGCCAGGGATTATCTAATGGATTGAAGATTCCACAAGGGGAAAGTGAAACAATGATAGAAACAATCCGTTAGCCCGTCTGTCTCCATCGATCTGCCCACTCAACATAGTTCTATTATCTAGTCTACTTAGCATATATCCAGGTCGCCATGGATCCCAAAAACTTGGCCCATCGTCGAAGGCAAAACTTTGAAAATAGCAAGATCCAATGCCTTTCCAAACGGGATAAGAGCTTTGCAGGAAGAATCGATGCGAGAGCTGTTGATATCTGCGGGGTGATCAATGATAGAGAGGAGTTCTACACAACCTCCTCGTGCTCTGGGAGATGCTTTTTGTATCGAGGATCCGGCATTAAAGCCACAGACTCGTTCCGACGCTGGAGAATATCTCACGACAAGATCAAAGAGAGCCAGCGGTATTTTGATCTCTCGACTTTGGAGTCTGACCCTACTGGTGGTGCTGATCCCATACGTTCCGTTGGACAGTTTGAGCATGCCGAAAAGGTTCGGCAAATTGACGGTGATCAGGACCAGCCGAAAGCACTCGACGGCCGCAAACGTGATGCTCTGGAGCAGGATAGTCAAGATTACTTGGTCGTGGGAAACCAGGGAGAAGCAGCAGGCGAAGATGAAATAAATCCACCTATGTATACTGCGGATGCCATGCTCTGGCTTCGATTTGAACCTTTCATTCTGCATGTCGCTTGTCGATCCTTGGCAGCTGCTTCCTCTCTAATGAATGCTGCTAGGCCAGCTTTCAAGAATGTGGGATTGACAACATGGAAAGATGAACAATCTACAAATGCCGGCAGCAACTTTTCCAAGTATCTGGTGGCAATCTGGGGAGACGAAGGGTTAGATATGCCTCTTTGCACCCCGGATGGGACACAAGTCTTTGCAAATGCACACGATTGGTTGGCTGGTCTGGTCAATGAACGTCATCAGAGAAACTGGATGAAGATTGAAAGGTTTGTGCAAGCTGTAAGGGCCATGCCTTCTGGTGTGGACGACGAATACGTTGATGACACATATCATTGTCTCGGAGACGACAACAATGAAAATGGGGCTGCTAGAGTTCCAAAGAGCTTTGATGTTTTGGGCGATGTTGCAGTGCTGAATACCCTTCCACCTGGTGATCAAGAGGAACTCTCCCGCATTGGAGACGCAATTATGACGAAAAACAAAGCCATCAAGGTGAGCAAACAGTATCGCTTGGTGAACGAATTTGTGTTTTGTGTTGGAGTTCTCACTTGTAATTTCTGCATTCTGCGATATCATACCAACAGATCGTAGTGGCTCGTCAAGCCAACTTGGATGGAACCGAGCGCGCACCAGGAGCCTCTGGATTTGTACAACTGGCAGGTGAACACCAACGAAATCCCTTGATGACCTCGCACGCTGAATACAACATTAAATGTAGGTGCAAGAGGAAGGGACGGGAAGGTTTGTTTTCCACAGCCTCACTTTTCTTTTACCTTTGAAACAGGTGTAATTGATTTGAGCAACACTTTCTTCAGCCCTCGAATGGGTCCAGAAAGGCTGCGAATCTGTCAGCAAGTGGCTCGAGGGGAACATGTCCTAGTTTTGTTCGCTGGAGTAGGGATGGAAGCCCTGCAGATTGCAGGCCGGACAGAGGCAAGTAAGGTAGTGGCTGTGGAGTTGAACCCCATTGCCGTGCAGTGCTTGCGCCGGTCGCATCAATTGTTGGCCCGGAATCGTGCCGTGAAATGTGTGGGAGGTGCCGACCGATTGGAGATTATAGAAGGGGATGTTTTGAAGGTGATTCCAGAGAGATTTGAACCGAACTATTTTGACCGAGTCTTGGCACCCCGTCCCAAAGAAGGTTCCGCGGATGGAGACTTGGGAACTGGTGATGGAGGTGTTGACTTTTTGCGAGCAATGCTGCCCGTGATGAAACAAGACGGAGGAGAGGCGCATTGGTATGATTTTGCGGCTGATCATGAGTTTCCTCAGTGTGAACGAACTCGCCAATTGCTAGAACGGACCTGTGCCTCTGTGGGGTTAGATATGCAAGTCCTTCATGTCGCAAATGCTGGATCTGTTGCCATGCGACAGCTACGAGTTTGCGTTGATTTCCGCATATCTCCAAAGCCACACTGAACCTACCCTACAGGATCAAAGCTATTTCTGATAGGGTAAAGCTCGTGGTCTTGTGGTGTATGCGGCACGTTGACGCCAACCGGCATTCCTCTAGCTATACCGGTTATTCGTAATCCGGCTACCGTACGGTAATCTATTTCTTTAGAAAGGAAGGATAAGTCAGATAGATAATTTCTAGTTGTAGTGCATCTCAGTTAGTTTGTGACGCTTGCAAATAATAATTTTGTTCCTATAGTGAGTATAACGCTATCATATGAGAGCTACGAGTAGTTTTCAATTTGTTTCTCCCCTTGGAATTACGTATGTAGTCCATCTATTACCCGAATTGAATGAAGCAATCGCCGTTCCTTACAACTGTCTTTTTGGCCGTCCACGTCAAGACTAGCTAGCTAGCGTTATTTCTGACAGCCTTCTTCCGATTGCCTTCGAGACGCTGAATAAGACTGTTCCTCTGGAATAGTCACCCATCATCTTTTTTAATCTCTCCAGGATTCTTCTGTATTGACGTACTGGTATTCTTGTGTCACCTTGTTCCACACCATACCAGGCTTTGCCTCGGTTTCCTTACTGAGTGCTGCTTCCCGGAACTGTTTGGCATCCTCTTCTTCCTTGCGTTTTCGTTCCTTTTCTTCCTGTTCTCGTTGGAATCGTAGATCTTCTGCCACTCGTTTGTCCCGTGCTTGTCGAATCGCAGGATGCACATGGTGTAGTTTGTGGATTGCCGTTTCGAGCGTATCACAGAATTTCAAATCTTCAGCATCCTGCTTCAATGCCGCTTCGAGCCACGGAATGTACCGAACGGCGTCCTGTTCTAGATTGCGTCGTTCAGTGGCAATGCGATAGAGTGCTTCTCGTTGTTGTGAGACTTTTTGTTGGTATTTGAGAATGAGTTTGTGAGTATCGAGCAGTTCATCGCCGACGAGTGATTCAATGTGGTGTGTTTCTGGAAGGGAAATATCCTTGAGAATGGATGTGGATCGATCAAAGGTCGTATCGAGATCGGCGACTCCCTTCCAGAGTTCCACAAGGGACGTGGTGGAGAGTACGGATCGTCGTCGTGATCTTTTGTTGTGTGACGATTGGGATCCTCCACTGGCAGTACTACTGCGACGTCGTTTCATGCCATTGAATTTACTGCGCTTGGCCGCCGAAGGAGTCGATTGCAAGGCAGAAGAATCAAAATTGAGTTCGACGTTGAGTTTGGCGTCGGCATCTCCAAAAATGTTGTCGTCGTCATCATCGTCGTCAGCATCATCTTCACCGTCATTGCCATCATTCAGAATATCCATGGGATCGTCCGAGTCCTCGTCGTCGTTTGCTTGGGAATTGTCTTGTGGTGCTTGATTCTGTGTATGTTCCGCGTCGTCTTCTTCCTTGCTGGAAGGTGTGGCTGCTTGTGCCTGACTATTCGTCGTCGCCGTGTTGTTGACTGCAGGTGTTGCGTACGCTGTTGTCTGTTGTTGAAATGCAGATGGTTGTGAGTTTGTTGGTTGTACAATGGGCGCTGAGGAGGCTCCTCGATTGTTGCGATAGGGCTCGAGCCCCTTGAGTAGTTCATTGACATATCGGACGGAAAAGACGCGTCGATCGCCCCAAATTTTGACTGTTCGTCGAATCTTTTCCACCGCGGGCGCATCCGAGTGTTGAGAGACAAAGATCAAGGACTGACCAAGGATGGGACTAAAGGCTTCCAGGAATTTGTTGCCTCGATTGCGTTTGGAATTCTGCAACACTTCATTGGCCACATAGAGCAGAGGCAGCCATTGATCACGTCGAGCATTGTGAAGGGCATTGCGCCATTCCACCACGGCCACACCCGGGCTGCGGTCGTAGTGTTTCATCATTTGGGCGGCGGAGCTTTGAATAGCGGGAGCTGTGGCATCCACCCGTGCCAGGTTAGATCGTAACGAACCAGCGTCAGCCATGATAGTCTTGCGGGTCTGTCTACAGTTTGTACGTTCTTTAGCAATTTATTAATCAATCAACTAACTCAACACAGCAACAGCAGACTGACTACAGAAGAATAGAACTACTACAGAGAGAGACGGGATACCGTAGCGGCCTTCAGACGAGAGTGGGATCATATGCAGCAATGGCAACAACGTTGAAGAGTCGAGTCTTCAATTGTCTTGTGTGCTTTGCTTTGGGCTCACATCCACATCATGCGGGGGTGTGTGGTGCCCTGAAAGATTTATCGCCTAACCCTAACTTTCGTCTGTCCTTTGTCGACCATCTCGCTGCCACCAACCGTTTCCTCTCTCTGCAAGAAGTTGACATTCCCACAATTCTTTTTGAAGACCAACACTCTCCCTTTCCTTCTCCCTGCTCCTCATTGTCAAGGGTGGCTGCTAAGTTAATTATCCAAGTCAACTCAAGTCCAACTTCTATTAGTGAACTAAATCAACAACAAGATGGGTCGAAAACTCCGTGGCGCGGCTCTCCGAGCCCACAAACGAGGCAAAGCTAATGCCGAAGAAATGGTGGACCAAACGGCTGATCGTGTGGAAACGCAACAGGTTACTACCAAGACCAATGAAGAACTCTTTGTCATTGACACTACAGGAAGCAAGAACAATAAGGCAAACATGCCCAGAAAAGTCAAACAGGAAATTCAAAAGGAAAAAGTTCAGAAACAGAAAATGCCCAAATTGGAGCAAGAACGCGTCAATGAATTGGTTGAGAAACATGATTCGGCCAAATTGCAGCAAATGGTCAAGGAAGGAAAAGCCAAACTCCGAGGAGATCGCCATGCTATCAAGCAAAAACAGCACAAGAAAAATTTCGATTTGTGGGCCAATGAAGACGACAATACAAAGAAAAGGATTAAATCTTCCAACGCTCAAGCCGACAAGGTGCTTCAGTATGCCGGCATCAAGACGGGCATTCACGTGGCCAAAGTCGTAGAGCGAGTCTCCAAAAAGGACATGACGGCTGTTGCAGTCGATGTAGCTCACGCGGGACAATCCTATCGACCCGATCCAAAAGCCTATCAAGCCGTTGTGCAAGATGCTGTCTCGTTGGAATTAAGACGTCAAGAAGCCGAAGAAGAACTCAAAGCTCCTCTCACGAAAGGCATGTCGCCAGAAACACGAGCTCTGTTGCTTGGAGACTCGGATTCGAGTGATGATGATGATGAAGAAGACGAAAATGACAATACGCAAGACGACAATACCAATAGGCTCATGCCCAAACGACAGAACAAATTGACACGAGCGGAACGCAACAAACAGAAACGATTGCGACAAGAAAAAGCCTCGCAAGAAGCGGAACGAAAACGCAAAAAGTTACTCAACAGTGTCGCCGAAATTCCACGGTTCAAGAAGGAACTAAAAAAACATGTCAGGGAACATCAAGACAAGAAGGAAAAGATCAAGGCGGACAAAGAGGCAGCCAAACCAACTTTGGGCAAAGATGTCCTGCAACGAAATTCGCAAAAGGATCCCATTCGTGTCCCGACTTTGCCAGTGGCACTGGAAGAAGAACATAAGGAAGCGTCCTTGCGAACCATCAAACCCAAGGGATCCATGCTCACGGATCGAATGGTCAGTTTGGCAGACAGAAACCTCACGGCCAAGAGGAAACGACCCGAAGACAGGAAACGAGGCAGAGGAGGGAAGAAAAGAAAAATCAAGTACAAAGAAGCCGCCATGGCCATGGACTTTTCCAGGATGGGGTAGGAAGGAGAAGCGAAATGATAAGAAGACAAACAATGCACAGTTAATGATAATCAGAAATCTACTAGTATACGTGGTTTACAATCATCCCCATGTTTTAAACTATGAATGTGCTCGCTTTCTGGTGGATTGTTGTTGCAGTCGTTGCGTTGCCATGGTCAAATCTTTCTTGGTCCTCGCAAAGCCTCTATTGGAAACGTCGACGAGATGCCACCATGGATCGGTCGAATGTGCCTGGAAGGTATTCGTGCTGCTTCTGCTTGATGCATCCAACTGTTTGTCAGTGGTTCCACCGGTTGTAGCACATGTACTTGCGCTTGTAGCCATCCCGTCGTTGCTAGTGTTGTCGGTGTTTGAAGTTGTGGTGCAAGACAATGACTCATACACTTCCTCAGCGGCAAGGGCAATTGCGGCACATGCCAGCTCCATGGTCCCATGTCGCAATGCGGGAGCATAAAAGAGAGCGTCGTTCAGTCGTCTCCACGCCACGGTGGTAACTTGCCTTTTGACGTTCTCTTGTTCTTCTTTTGGTGCGATGGTGCCTTGTACGGGTATTGGCAACGCCTGTGATTGTATGGTTGGTTCTGCCAACAGTACAGATACTGCTCGGTGAGGTTTGCATACCGAAACATCAAAGCCCAGCCACCGTAGAACAATCTGCTCTGACTGGACTATGGTTGCTTTGGTTTTCCAATACTTGTCATCCAAGGGTGGAGGATCTTTCATGACTGCAAGGACAAGTGTATCGGGGAATCTATTCGAGTTTGTTGGCTCTTGTTTTATGATTGATGTAGATAAGGGATTATCAGAATCGAAACAGCTCTCATTGGCTGCACTGCTGGACGCTTGTGGTATCTTTGCTGAAATCTTGCATATCTCTTCTTCAGGGGGATTTTCCGCTTCTGCTGAACATTTCGTTGGTTGGTTAGGGTCATTCAAGAACATGTGCGTAGCACTGATGATATCCCTGAGCCTTCTGGGGTCTTCTTCCACCTTGCAGGCAAGGAAGAGACAAGCTGCTGCTCTTGTTGCCAAGTTTTCATTTTCATCCGAATCTTTTTCATCGTTCTTTTGCTTGCTGGTGTTGGATACTGCTGAATAATATCTGTGAAACAAAACGATGGATGTGAATCTTGTTTCTACATCCAACCTCAAGGTATGCGATGCCACAAGCAGTCGGCAGATCATTGGACGAATGGCTTCATCGTGGCCAAGAAGCGTTTGTGTTAGCAAAGGTGGTCTCAATTGTAGGTCCTCATCCATCCTCCCCAGGGACACCGCTTCATCTCTATTGCTGATACTTGCAGTCGCTGCAATGGCCAAGGAGGACATCGGGTCGTTGGATGCCTGCACTGGTACCGGTACCAATGCACCCTTTGGCTTCATGCTACCAGTACGATACTGTAACTAACGAGGTACCGTACCTGTGGTCTGTGGCAGCTAAAGAGAGCTTCGACAGTGGGAAGTGGGCGCTAGGGCGAAGTGGGTGCAGGAAAAAAAGAAAAAATGAAAGTAGTCTTTGAGCTACATTTAAGGAAAGGGTTAAATAAAAATGCATTCTGAACCCTACCGTAGATTTTCTGCTCGTGAAATGGAGCGTCGGCAGCTGTGCGCTTTCGCTGGACCGCCCCCGACGATCGATGTGCGCTGCAGCCAGTGCACAGTTTCCGCGTCGCAGCACACAGACTTTGTTGTATGAAATCTTTGTGCAACGTTGTTGTTGTGAGTGCAGGATAGCTACTGGATATACCTGTTCCGTTGTCTAGCCAGCTACGGTAGCCAGCTTGCTAGGCAGAGAGAAAGTGTCAAAGGGAGGAAGCTTTCTTGTTCTTGCCTTTTTGGCAATAAAACTCATTAATATATACATTTCTCTTCCCAGATCTTCCTGTCCTGACTCCTGACCATGCCTAAGGAAGATGACGAAGCGGCTGCGGCCCGTAGGAGAGCCCGTCGTGATCGGACCAAGAGTCCTGCCCCAGAACAAGATGACGACAGTGAAGAAGTAACAGCAACAAGACGCAAGAGTTATGCCAATATTTCGGCATCGAAACTCATGGAAAGTCTCCAGGCCACCAGTGAGGCTCCCATTACACGACTACGACGAGGCCAGTCCACAGACGGAACACAAGAAAAACAAAAACCCAGTGGACGGCGTACTCCCGGCAGGACCATGTCGGCTCAGGCATCGCGGGCAAATCCTCGTCGAATGCGGAGTGGAGATGCCGACATGCTGTCTCAATCCATGATGGAAAATACCCACGGTGATATGGATGGCTCCAACATGTCTGCATCTGCTTCCAGAAGGAGAGGGCCACCACAGAGAACCCGATCCGCGGATAACTGCCTTCCCAGAGGAGTCACTCAACGAACGCCTCGTGCCCGTCGAAGGCCGGAACGACAAGATTCTGTCGAAGCCGACGAAGACGGAATGATGTCTTCTTCTCGCCGTAGACCTCCTGGCCGAACTAAATCTGTCGATGCCATGCCACCCCGTGGTGCGGGGGCTCGGGCTGCTCGCTCAGGACGTCGAAGGCCCAATTTGGATGATGACGATGATGATGTCATTATCTCGGATTCAAGTGAAGAAGAAGAGGAGGAGGATTTGGAGGGTAATAGACACAGCAATCACCTTGATCGATCCAGTGCGTCAACTGGAGTTTCCAGCCGCAGAGGAATCCCCCGGAGAACTAGATCGACCGATTCTGGTGGAGTCCCAACCACTAGGGGACAACGTACAGCGAGAACCGCCCGTCGGAGACCCAGCGCGGAACGGAGCGATGCTTCCCCCAAAAGGTCGGGAGGACCGGGTTTTCAGAGAAGCCTCACTGCAGCTCCTGGATCGGCATCTGGTTCTGGTCCAGGACTTCATAGAAGCAACACAGCGACCAATCCTAGAAGTAGGAATCGTGGAGGCAGAAATACAGCAGCGGAACTAGCTCAAGTTTCAGTTTCGAACAGAGAAAGAAGTCCCGATCCCTCTATCGTTTCTTTCGAAGGAAACGACATGGAGAGTGCAAAGGAAAGCTTAAAACAACTTGGATCCAAGCACTCCGTAAGCCCGATCAAATCGAGGCAGGAACGACGTCACTTGCGAGAGGCTAAGGAGCGTGAGGCATTAGAGCGACGAATACCTCAAAAGGCACCTTTGGACGACGAAGAACCAGAACCATTGGTGGCAGAAAAGAAGGAAGAGCCGTGGATGCGACGATTAAAGAAGAGTGGTGGTGCCTCAAAATCGGCAGAGGATTCTTTCAGTTTCGATGAAGCCGTTCGTCAAAAGGCTGATGTATTCAACAGTAGTCAAGACAAGGGTTTCTTTCCTACGGACCCAACATTTGGGGTTTTTGCTGCAGGAGAGCCCCTTACCGATATGAATTCCAGCTTTGAGAACGGAGATGGGAGTGAAGACGCAATGGTTTCAATTATGGAAACAAAGCAGAAAAACAAGCTAGATTTCTCGTCCATCTCGTGATCGGATCGAAGCAAATTCCCGTCTTACGATTCGATTGAGGCTAGCACACTAACAATACATGAATACTGAAGTGTGAAAGCGTTGTTTAGAAAAGGAGCGTTGACCCGTCGCCACTTCGACACACCACTACATGTGCCGGTATAGTTTCGACTAGCCAGGCTCGACTCTAATGGGAAGCTAGTAGTAGCTCGTAATTCCAGCTAGAAATTCTTTACCTTGTTCATGCTGTGGAGCCAGAACACAAAAACATATCTGTATCATTATTATCGTTTCGTGATTAGCGCACGGGATGTGTCGGCTTCTTAAGTCCTCCTCCTCTTGCCAGCTTTTTGCTCAGCCTCTTTCAAGTCCTCCTCCCACTGCTCTCTCACCAATCTAAACAGCTGCATTGTAGCCCAAGCATCTTGTATGGAATCGTGGGCTTGACCCTCTTGTTGGATAGCGAGACCAAGGTTTTCTTGCACCAAATCTCTCAACTTGCGTGGTCTCCACTTAGATCCACCCAAACGCTGAAAGGGGCGGAACTTTGCCGTGTCACGGATATGACTTTTGGGATGCGTCAAAAGCAAGGCATGCAAATCGTTCTTTAACGCATGTCCCACCAGTACCTTGCCCTTTAATAGATTGGCAACCTTTTCTCGGCACTCCTTTTCTTTCATGGCTCCCGATTTGCTCTTGATATCTTTTGCCGTGACACCACTGACATGAGTTCTAAAATCGGTGACTCGGGTGGGGACTTGGACAAACGTATCCAAGAGAGTATTTCCATCCCAGTCTACAATGGACACCCGTGCCAAAACGGATCGTTTTCCATCCGTCCCAATTCCCACCATTTCGCAATCCAACGCCAAATAGCGAGATTTGTATTCTTCGGATAATGCTTGTTCGGCAGTTTGCCGGCTGGAGTCTGCTGCAGCCTTTTGCTTGGCCTTTTCTTCTTCTCGGACCAGATCATTCAAGCGAGGGAACTCTCGCTTGCGCTTTTTGTGTTTGGGTGGAATATTATTCGCATTGTTGTCATCGGTAGTTGACGTGGGTACATTTCCTTCGACAATGAATTCCAACTTATCAGGATCGTTTCCTTCTGTTTTGGCATTTCTTCTGGCGTCCTTTCGAAATTTCTTGGCTTCCTTCGAGGATAGATTCTTTGGAACAATCACCAGATTTGGAGGAAGTTGCGGCTTGTCGACTGGAGCTTGCTTCTCATCAATATCACGCGTGGGAGTTTCTTCTTCCTTGGTTGTCTCTTTTGGATCATTTTTCGATTCACCCTCAGTCCCCTGGTGGGATTCTTTCAGCCTTTTTCTTCTCTTGCGAAACTCTGCCTTTTGCTTCTTACTGAAGAAAGCCGTCTTTGCCATGGTCATCGTGCCATGAAAGTAAGTGTGGGGATATTAGTATTCTCGAGAATCTGATGAAAGTGGTTGTTGCGAATGGGAGGCAATTTTGGGTGGCTCTGGATTTAGTCACGGATTTGTCTCAGTCGCGCAGCTTAGTCCGTCCGTCCGTCCTTCTCCCAGCTGGGAATCGAGACGAATTTAACCGTTCAAAATTCAAATTCGGATCTGGTTTTCCTGCGCTCACACAATGACGAGCCTTGGAAAAAAGCCGCTTCCATACTTCTTCTTCTCTTTGTCGTTTTAGTAATAGACATCAACCATGGAGTTCACCAACACCCCGGCTCAATTTGCTTTCCCTCTTCTAAAATCATCAGAGATCCTGCAATGCTTGTCGGAACTCGAGATTGAATTATCCAAGGCAGAGCTCTCAGAGCCTCAGCGCCACAGAGACAAGCTTCGTAAAGTGTTTCTCCTATTGGTAGGCCAACTTTGTCTCATTGCGGATAGGTCCTTCTTTTCTCTCTCTCTCACCCCCCATGATTTCGCTTTAGCTGGATGTTTGCTGTGGTTTGAATGAAGAGGATTTTCAACCCACTCAAAATGCCCTGGACAAGGCGGCGACCATGACGTACCCTGAATTGCATGAAGTCAGCGCCGACATTAAGTTCTTTCGAAAGTTGCGCCACTGCATGGAAACCTGTGGCATTTATGATTTCAGCTGGAAAGACATACATGCGCCCAACAGCAAGCGACTTCGATACCAACTCAGTGCAATCATCAACATGGCCAAACTGCGAGAGGACCTACTTCCGCTGTATGGAGAATTGGGTGAACCTGTAAGTGAAGAAATGGATATCTGGTGTTGTTGCCGCTGTACCGTACTGACCTGTATTCTTTATTTTTGCAGAGAAATGAATATCTTTTGAGCCTGGATGAGGTCAACCAGGAGCATGATGAGCTCCAGGAGCAACTCAAGCAAGTACACGACAAATACGAGGAAGATTCTCAAACAATAGAACGAACCCAACAGGAAAACGCGGAATTGACCAAAACCATTGCAAATCTCAACAAACTACAGTCAGCCAAGCGAGCCGAGGGACAAGATCTCAAAAACGTCGTGGGTGGCCTAAAGGATGAACTAGAAACCGCCAAGTGGACCATTGAAGAGATGGAAGCCGAGGAGGAAAAATTGCGGTCGGAAGTTGTGTCATCGCCTGATCGTCGCAAGGGGCAGCTCAAATTCGAACGAGAAACCCTTGACAGAGTCCGTGACGAATGCACCAATCTGGAGGAGAAACTACAAACCACAAGGACCATGTGTCATCATGTTGAAATGGCAGTCAAAGCAATGGAAACTGAAGTTGCTACGGTAGAGAGCGTCAACAAGGAGGCGGGCAAGTTTTCGGAGGCAGGCAAGCAGCTAGAAGCCGTAAACCAGAAATTGGAGACGCAACAAGAGCAAGTAACACGGGAGAAGGAAAAGATTGTCTTCTGTGAACGGGATTTGAATCGGGCGGAGGAGCGACTCGCCAATCTGCATAAACAAAACAACATGAAAATGGAGGCAGCTCAAGAGTCACTTGACGCGGCCAAATCTCGACTCAACAAGGTAGAGCAAGACCGGCGAGACGGCATGAAACAGGTCCAAAGTGGAGCGGCGCGGGTCCGAGAGATTGAAACACTGGTCGAAGAGGAGCGCCTTCAAACAGAAAAGGAAATTGAAGGCATGATCTCGGAATACCGCGAGACGGAAGCACTTGTTCTGGCCCGCCTCGACGAAAGAATGGAACGTATCGGTGCCCACTCTCACAAAGAAGCGTACTAGTAGCTTGAAGGAAGAAATGAGCACATTGAGATGAGGTCTGCTTATTCAAGTCGAACACAATGCGTCGATACATCCTTCCTAATTCCATTTGTATTCAAATGCAAGTCAGTAGCTACAGTATAGTCACGCACTCCTAGTTACCTAGCCATTACGAGTAGTACCTCTTTGAAGAGTTCATAATAAAGTTGCGTCTTTTGATGATAAATAATAGTTTAAATTGTTGAATCCTTGGGCACAATCACAGTGGAAAGGACGCCATGGTCACTCGGAAACTCAAGGGTAGGGAAGGCCATATCTTCCACGTATTCCCGCTTTCCAGTGTTGTCCTTCCACACTTGTTCCACCGCGAAATGGTCCTTGGCAAAGAGAATAAAATCCTTGGGGTTGACGTCACCTTTGGCCCGCTTTTCGTCGCGTTTGCAAGCCTTGTTCAACTGAGGCTGAAGATACGTACGTGCATTGTAAGTGGTGTAGTTGGAAGCGTCGGGAACGTCACCCCAGCAAGAAGTCAATCCATGGGCACGGTAGGCGGTTCCAAATTCCAAGACATCTTGTTGCTTTTTGGGTTTCGCATTTTCGTACGTATTGGCATCCATTCCAAAGACTAGCCGATGGCTGACAAGCTCCTTGTCCGCTCCCATGGCTTTAACAATGGCATCCACAACTGGAATGGTAGCAAGTCCATTGGTATCTCCATGGAAAGATGCTACCACAAAGGGAACGTTGTGAGCGCTAGTTGCGGTAATGGCGAGGATATCGCCATTGGCGACAGGTACCTTTTCCCCTTCTGGAAATGCACCCTCCACAATAGAAGTGATTTCCTTCTGACTTCCTCCTGGGAATGTTTCTTTGTTCAAAAAGATGACCGAGTTTTGATCACGAACAGCATCCAGCGCCCCAGGTGCAACAATGTGGAAGGTGTTTCCCAACCGACCGGCCTTGGCTTGATCGATAAAGGATGAGGAGACTTCCTGCAGCGTGATGATATCCGAGTTGATGTATTGATTTTCCAGGATACCCAGCGTATGCGGTACCTTTTGCTTATTGAGGGCATCCACCATGGTCCTTTTTAGATCCATCCATTGTTCGGGCGTGTCCGAAACCGTGTTCATCATGTGCACCAGAATTGCATCAAAGATGGCTCCGCACAAGGTTTGTAGTGGGAGCGAGTCTGTTTCTTCTTGTTCCGTGATATCTGGATATTTGGCCTTTTTGATGGGTTGTAGCATTTTGAATGGCTCCTTTTCTTCCACACCTTCCTTGGTCTTAATGTTGATTTTGTCGTCGAACATGAATCGTTCCCATTCTGCCCACCACTTGTCTAGACTGGACAGATCCCCATCGTACATGTTGATGACAGTTGGTCGGAATACTTGTTCGTTGGAACCCTCAATGTTGATGGTGTTGGTAATGCGATCAGGCATGGATGCCAATCGCTTGGACCCGAGCAGTTTATCTTTCATGAACTGGGCAATAATCTTTCGGTTTTTAAAGTCGTCTTTGTATTGAAATTGAAATTGATAGTCGATCACAAGCGTCATTGGATGAGAATTAATACTGAGTAGGAAACAAGGACGAGAATCCCTTCACTTTTAGCAGACTTACCATCCCAGTATCCTCTCATACTGGTCCATCCCACTTGCTTGATTCGAGTATCAAGTTGGGTGAACATGTTTTCAGTAAACACAGCCGAAACTGGGACATCACGATCCCCTGGTTCTTCCAAGAACTGTTCGACTTTGATCATGAGCTCCTCATATTTGGGATTTTCCTTGTAGGTGATCCAATACTCAAATGGATTGTTGTTAATGGCAGCAATGTTCCAGGTGGCCACAGTCAGTTTTTTCCCTGCAGAAATCATGGCAGACATTCCTTCGCTAGCAGCTCGAGCAACCCTGGAATCTGGCTTGACACCGGCGTTGGAGAGAAAATGTTGAGCGCCTCCTGAGAAGGAAAAAATGACAAAAAAGTTGGTTGGTGAATGGTAGTCGACAAAATTCTCATCCTGCCCACAGGACCCAGAGCTCCTATTCGAACGACGACAGCCCGACCTCCACTGAATGTTACGATGAAGATCCAAACCAGACAACGCTCAACCTTCCGTACTGTACTAACCCGAATTGTAGAGGAAGGCGGTGTAAACAACAGTTACAAGCAGAATCGCAGCAATCTTGTTGCGATACGACGCTAGCGATCTGCTGGGAACCACAATACTGCCGGCTGCTCCTCCACGTTGATAAGCGACAAAGTTTCGACGACCGTAGGCCATTGCGGAGACAGAGGACAAGCTTTGGTTGTTGTCTTCTGAACTCATAATATTTTAGAGGACAGCAATCGAACCATCACCATGGCGTTATCAGGCGGGACAGCAATCTTTCGCGGAGGATACAATGACCAACCCTAACCCTTTCTAAACGGTGTACAATTCGTGATTGAATTGCAGGACAACAACGGCCAAAACAACAGAGATGAACGATGGTTCAGCATGTAGACCATGAGTTCAAGGAATACCTCACTGGTATAGGTCAATGAACAACGTTACAAAAGAGGACCAAGCCAATGGAAGACTCATGGAGATACGGTGGTGCTTTCGTTCACTCCATTATGACCCCGGACGATGGGCGGCCGACATGGTCGGGGGTATCATTGACCACCACTACAGGCGTACTTTCTCTACCGATCGAGAGAATCCGGAGGCACTAAGCGGAAACTAATCTGAACGTACCGGTATCGTTATTGCTATCCAGCACCTCTACGTAATAATAGACGCCACCAACGACTAAAGCAGCAATCAGGAATTGCGCAATGAAACGAAGACCAGGGGAATCAGAAGGGGAAGATCGTCGCTTCGCTCCTGTTTGTGAGGTCATTGATGCAGGCTCCTTCCCAGCAGATCCGACTTGTCGTCGTCTCATACTCGCTGCTACTACCTACTGTAGCTCTAGTACAGTCGTACCAGGTAGAGGGATTGTTGAATGCGGAAGCAAGTGTCGGGAGTTGGCGATACAGAGCTGATTTGAGGTCGTGTTATGGCTGTGGGAAATAATGAGAAAGCAAGAAACCCGTGATTGCTCAGTCCCTATCTGGTCTCGGCTGATCTTCCGTACGCAGTTTGTTGAAGACGCCGAGGAAGGCAACAAGCTAGCTAGCTATGAAGACCTTCTTTTGGCGGTTCATCAAACATGTTCTCACCACAGCAATCACACAAGCTACCTAGTGGGCAGGAAAAATTGACGATTCTTCAGTAATCAGTGCCATTTCTAACCAAGCCACCAACCGGAAAGAAAAGGTTTCATAGAGTAGCAAAACACTATCATCATTTTATGTACCAAGGGGCGTTTTTAAATACTTGAAAGCCCGTCAACTTTGTTCAAATCTACTTCAGTATTGGCCACCTACTTGCTTGCCCTCTAGTTCTTTCCAGAAAGAGGATCCTTCACCCAGTGAGCTCCAGTTCCAACTTCATGCATATATTTCAAAGTGGAAAGGAAGTTGGTGATAACCCAGGGGTAGTAAACGTACTGGACGCCATGCTTTTTGCAGATTTCGCGCACAGTGGGGGCAATGTAGGGGTACCAGGCTGAACTCATGCGAGGGAACAAGTGATGTTCCACCTGAAAGTTGAGTCCACCAGTCAAAGCACCTGAAATGAACCCGCCATAGGTACAAGAAGTCTCAACTTGAGACTTGAACCAACAAACTTGTTCACCAGTCTTTCGGAAATGTTCAGTGGGATCACGGTCAGCGTTTTCAAAGTTGTGGGACAGAGAAAAAAAGACTGACAGGGCCAGACTTTCAGCAACACCCATGAGCATGAGTTGACCAAAGGCCGACCAGGTAAGTCCATGGTGTACGAAGGGCGGGACACAGTTGGTGAGAATGTACAAGATGCGCAAGCCAATGGCAATGGGTCTTCGGCTCTTGATAAAGTCGTTTTCCATCCTGATACCGACAGATTGAGCCCCGCGTTGTCGAAGATCCAAAATCTGGGGGTTGAAGACGGCCGAGAGCCAGTAACCACCAAGGACTGGCAAGAAGAACAAAGCCTGGAATCTGTGCACCCAAGTCCTAGCAGGGTGATCCAGAGGATAGTCATTGAAAAGCATCATGGGCTCGGCACCAAAGCTATCAGGGTCCTTTGTAGCGTGGTTGGTGTAAGTGTGGTGCTGCACAGTGTGTCCCGAGAAGGCAACAGGTTAGGATCAGGTTCAGGCTCTTCGACAAAGAAATCTCGGATTTCAATCTAAGACTTACCGTCCAATGCTGTTCGAGCCACAACCACCTAGATCCTCCAATAAAGTCAGCACCCAATCCAAGGATATCGTTGATACGATGATTCTTGGAGGCAGCACCATGGTTGGCATCGTGTTGCACGTTGAGTCCAATCCAAGCTCCAGCAACACCATAAATAATGGCCAGCCCCCAGGAAGATCCTTGGGTAACCCACAAATACTGCAAGTAGAAGAAGAATCCAACGTAAAAGGCGCATCGCGAATACCAGCCCCAAGTTCCAAATTCTCTTCCACGACGAACAATCTTGAAGACTTCTCGCTTGATCTCTCGCTCAAACTCGGTATCAAACTTGTACCTGTAGGCAACGAAAAAGGGTATTTGTGAGTTGTAGATGCATAAAGGGTATCCAAAAAACTCCAGTAGACTGAATGTATTTGTCTGAACCAAGTTTTCCTGTACGCAGCACTCACTCGGTAACAAAATCCGTCACCTTGCCCACTTGGCGCATCTTTTCCAGGTGCTTTTCGGTATGGTATGGGTGGATCATCTTGTAGGTTGCTGTCACGTCATTGCCTCCAAACATTTCAATCGATTGTCCGCCAGGATGATCAAATCCACGCAAGTCGTAGACAATTCCGTCAATGCAGACTTCATGGTCCTTGATGGTCTTCATGGTTCGCACTTCCTCCTGTGTGGATTGCGTGGCGGCCAGATCATCGGCATCCACCATGTATTCCTTGCGGTTGCGCAACTTGTCAGCGTCGGGAGCCATGGTTCAACTTTTTCTCTTCTACTTCTTCTTCAAAACAATATACTTCCACCAGACGGCGTGAAAATGAATGAGCTGTACTGATCTGGAATTCAATTCATCAACAACGACGAAAGTCTGGGTGGCAAGCAAAACGTTGTTGAACCATTCCACATCGGCAACATAGCCGATGACGATGAACGAATGACAATTGGTGGAAGTAGTACGTGTCACTATAGGAAGAACAGTACACACTGTTTAACGGTTTGAGCTTGTTTGCCGTTTTCTTTGACCTTGAGTCAGATCGTAAAGTTTGTCACGAGTATGATGTAGTCAAAGTATCCAACAGCTGCACCCCTCGACCACAGAGACACAACCACAGATCACAAATAAATCTCGGATCCATCACTTCGACCACTGCCCAACAGGTACACATCGCATCAATCCGCCCTTCTAAAGGCTTTCCATTAAAAGAGACAGAAGGATATGGTTCGCCTCTCATACGGCTCTACAGTTATTTGGGGTCAAATTGCTGCTTCTCTGCTGCTGCTTCTCTTGAGCCTTGCTAGCAAACCAACCGATGGTCTTCAACCACTACCGGTAGCAAACCGTGCCGATACCAATCTTGTGGAACGTCAAGGCATTCGTCTGGTGACTTGGAATCTCTTGGCTCCCGTCTTTAGTCACCCCCAGAAATATCCCTGGTGTAGTGCAGAAGCCCTGTCATGGCCATTTCGAGAAAAACTCATTGTGGAACTGCTGCAAGAAACGGATGCCGATGTTATTTGTCTGCAAGAAGTGCAAACAGATCTGTGGGAAGGTTTTCTGCAGCACTTCTCCCAGTCTTACGATGGAATACTCCAAAATGTTACCAACCAACATCCCGTCACCAATGCCATTCTACTCAAAAAGAACAAGTTCCAAGTTATTCAACAAGAGTCCAGATCCAGAGCCCTCATTCTGGTTCTAGATCACCTTATTGATGGGGAGACGAATTCTGGTTCCACTGACAGCAACAAAAACAACAACAATCCGCTCTACCTGGCCAATGTCCACTTGCAAGCAGGAATGGAGGACGATGAAACCAGAATGTGCCAGCTCAAATCACTCCTCAAAAGACTCAACACCCATTCGTCAAGAATCACAGCAGCCAGAAAAAGTACCGGTCGCAAAAAGGCACAAAAAAGTTCCACAACCAAGGCCAAGTCGCCATCTTGTGTGGTAGTAGGTGATTTTAACATGCTGCCAACAAACCCAGTCTACTATTGGTTATCAGAGACAAACTCTCCTAGACATCAAATCGAGCAAGGCAACAAGAAGCACTTTTTCTTTCAAGACGGCAAACAGAAACTGAGCAAGCTAATGTTTCCCATGAATGGTAAACACAACGAAATTTTGCCACTAAAGGATGTCCATATACAGGAACCACCACCCGTATTGATACAGACAACCAAATCAACAACAGAAAAACAGCATGACGATGATACCATTCAAATGACTTATTGTGGTGGAGGTAGACTCGACTACATTTGGACTCTTCCAAGTTCCTCCATTGATGTTGTGAAGACTATGGTATTTCATCCGCAAGCTTTTGAGAAAAGTCGACAACAATGGCCATCCAATGAGCATCCATCGGATCATCTTCCTGTTGGATTCGAATTCACCTGGTAGCGGATTGTTTCGATTTTCAATTGGAGCAGCGCCGTACTGTAGCGGGTGAATGGCCTTGATTTTCAATTGAGTCATGATTTCAGAATACAACCGCCAAAAATGGCTATGAAATGGTGCAATTGTCGAGAAAGCAACGGTCAATTCGTTCTCTAGCATCTGCATCATCATCGTCGTCGTGATTACATTGTCCCAGTCTCTTTGCTACAAACGTTGGCAACACAAAGGCTGCCATGTGCGTTTGTGGATTGTACCATTGGAGGTCCTGGACAAAGTCTGGTATTCTCGTTGGGCGTCTACAAGTGCCACTCTTTGTCCCTTTTCCCGCCAAAATGAATCCAATCTGTCCACACGGATAGGTGGGGACCATGGTGCTGGCATATTCAGCATGTGAGAAAATTTCATTGGAACAAGCATGCAAGTCACTTATGAGATCCAAATGAATCCAAAAACTCTCGGCTTGCACACACACGATACCCTCTGGAGCCAAAGCATTGTACATTTTTTCATAAAATGCCGGTTCAAAGAGACTCTGTGCTGGACCGATGGGATCCCCATTGTCGGTAATGATAACGTCAAATTCCGCCTCTCTAGCCGCAATGAAATTGGCTGCGTCATCTTGCACAATGGTCAAGCGTGGATCTTCAAAAGCATCCCGAATATCTTGTCTAAAGTACTGTTTCGCGACTTGTGTGACCATGGGATCGATTTCAACCAATGTAATGGATTTCACACATTTGTGTTTGCGCACCTGCCGCAAAACGCCTCCATCTCCGCCACCGACAATGCAGACTGATTTTGGATTAGGATGTGAACAAAGTGGAAGATGAACCATCATTTCATGGAATGCGAACTCGTCTCGTTCCGTTAGTTCTGATGTTCGATCGATCGATGTGGTAGTGAAAGCAGATAGATGTTGCAGGGTTTGTTAGGATAACGAAATAAAGGAATGACAGTGGATTGATTTGGGATGGAGCTAGCTAGCTAGGTCGATAGATAGACACCTTAACTCACGGATAACTCCATCCAGTACTAAGACGTTTCCATACTGAGCCGACCGAAACACCAGTATCTTCTGATGTCCGGAGTCTTGGTGGAAGAGCACTGACTTTTGCTCTGAGAATTCCTGGGTGTCCATGCGTCACATACACGCATGATCATTAGTAAGCTCCTAGTATAGAGATTCGATTCCACTTTCAACGAACTAAAAGTTTGATGTACCTACCTCCAAGGCAAGTGAAAACTTTTGGCCCGGCCACATGGCTTCCGTCTCTGAAAACCATCCATCTCGAATTCCTGGCACCGCCTGTTTGTTGTTGTTGGTTGTCGTCATTGGTGAAAGATATTCCTCGCTTCGCTCTAGGATTCACTTCAAAAAGTTCCTTTGTGCAGAGTGAGTAGCCCAGGCTGAGATTGATTGAATGTTGACAGTTTGGATCACTCACTGCTCTCACACTGTCTATCAATAGATGCTTCCCAAGGATGTGATGATTGTTGTTGTCGTTGTTTTTACGGAGGTTCGAGGTTCGAGGAAGTGTCATTGGCCGTTGGCTTTGGTGGGTCCCGAAATGGCTCGTGACTCAATCGCAGCCAACGATCTTCAAAGCTCATCCTTCCCCTTCACTTCATTTTCTCCTTTCTCGACTTTCCTTTCTCATCCCTTGCATGGCCTGTCGCCTTTTAGACTCTAGCATAGAGGTATCACCACCATGGGCAAGAGAAAAAACCGTTCCAAACGCTCCGCGGGATCTCTTCCCAAAGGCCTTCCGCACAAAAAGTCTTCCTCTACTACTGTCAATCCGTTTGAGTGCTCTGCGAGTCGTCACAAGGGCCCCAAGCATCAAGTTCACAACCGCAACATCAGCAATCTTGCCCCGAAAAAGTCCAACAATGCTCCCCAACAACGTCGGAGTCAGCACTTGCTGCAACAAGCACTGCAGAGACAGAAGAAGGCCAACACATTTGTGGACAAGCGAATTGGAGAATACGATCAGCACATGAGTTCGGAACAACAAAACATGGCCCGATTGGTCCGCGAACGAACACGACGCTCCAAAAAGAGCACCAAGTATCAATTGAACGACGACAATTATGATGACGAGGGAATGATTCTCACGCACAAGGGGAAAGTCATTGATGATGAAATGGCAGAAAAAAGTATTCTACTCAGTGATGACGATGAAGATGATGCAGGAAACTTGGATGCGATGGATACAGCACTCCATTTTGGTGGCGGAAACATGAACAAGTCGGCAGCACCTTCTGGTCCATATGGTCCAACCACCACCACTGCCGACATGGCCTTGAACTACTCTCAACGAAAAACGGAATTGGATGACTTGATCATACGACGAAAGACTCTCAAAGCCGAACGCATCAAAGCCAGGGCGCAGCAAGAAGATGTCATTGCCGATTTGGATGGAGCATTCAAAGAGCTCAGTGGTATGCTCCAATTCCGAGACAAAGAACAGGAGATCAAAACTCATATACAACAAAAACGAGCCGGGACACTAGATAAGGATGCCCAGGAAATGGAAGCTTGGCATCAGGAAATCCGAGAGTATACGTTCCAAGGAAAACGAGCCAAAGCCACGGATCGAACCAAAACTACCGAAGAGGTGGCCAAGGAAGAGGCAGAACGTCTCCACGAGTTGGAAACTCGACGATTGGCTCGCATGAATGGAGATTTCAGTGATGATGACTTTAGTGATGTCACTGACGATGAAGAAGAAAATTCTGGAAACAAACGCAAAAGGCAAAAGAAGCAGGCTGCCAAGAAAAAAGCCAAAAAGAAGGCAGGCAGCAATCCCGATGAACTGGACGACGACGATAGCGATGACAGTGGCGACGAGGAAGAGGAGCTGAAAGCCAAGTTTACACCGGATGGCTTGGTCTACGTCAACAAAAAGGGCGAAATCGTCAAAAGGCTAGGCGAAGATGATGATGATGGCGACGACAATAGCAATGCAAAAGAAGAGGATGATGACAAAAGCTCCAGCAGCGACGAAGAGACAGCTGAAAACGATGATGACCCTAAAGCTACACTTGCGGTTGGAACTCGAGTCCAAGGAAACTACCGAGCCAAGGAACAGTATAAAGAGCGAGAACATTGGTACGATGGAGTCATTTCCAAAGTCAACACAAGCGAAGGCGGTACCATCACCTATAATGTCGACTATAATGATGGTGATTTCGAGGAGGATGTGGAACCGCAATACGTTCGACCCGTCAAAAAAAACAAGGAGGAACTCATGGCAGAAGAGGATAAAAACGAAGAGGAACGGATATTGAAACGCAAACGCCAGAAGGCGAGGGACAAAGCCAGGTAGGTTCAATTTTGGATCCATATACCCCCGATAGTGATTGGTTGCTTGGTGTTTGCCGCTACTTTTGTCACGCGAATGGCTGCTCGACAGCATCTTCCTTCATTCGTGCTCGGAGGTCTTACTGGGGGCGTTCTGCCTCTCAAGGCTCTCCATCGATACAGTGCAAACACCATACAAGAACTCCATGCCTCATAGTACCCCTGGGATTCGCCAACTCCCTTGTGTCTCCATGGTTTTTACATTCATTTCTCACCCTTGCTTTGCTCTGTGAAACGTAGACAAGAAATGCCATTTGTGTTTGAAGCTCCAACCACGCTCGATGCCCTTCATGACTTGATTGCCAAGTATGCCTCCAAAGGTAGCGACGCTTCGCTGATCATTCAACGTATTCACGCCGCAAACTCTGTCAAATTGGATCGAAGGAACGCTGAAAAGATGCAAAACTTTTATGACGTTCTGTTGCGGCGTTTCATTGCCGTTGGTGATGCAATCTACACATCCGGAGATGGGGGACCGGAACTGGGACGATACCTTCAGTTGGACGAGATTACGAAAGTACTGTACCAGATGACACAAGACTCGCCCGATTGTGCTGCAGCGGTGTGGGGCCGTAGGTTCGGTATATTGCAGAATGCGCATGCAAAACGTTTGCGCGATGCTGAATTCGAACGAGACGCGGACGAAGATGATCAGGCTTTGTCAGCTTGGCCTTCTGTGGGCACGATTTTGTTGTTCCGCGTGGTGGGGCACCTATTTCCAGTCACTGATCGTCGTCACAGTATCGTGACACCGTTCATTCTGCTCTTTGGTCAGATGCTGGCACAGACGCCAGTGGAATCTATGTATGACCTCGTGAGTGGTACAATGATTGCTGGCTTGCTGGTGGAGTATTCACGGGAAGCAAAACGAGTAGTACCTGAGGCAATTGGTTTTCTCGCAGGTGCTATCAGACTCTTCGCAACCGACTCCGAAGAACGGACCTCCCCACGCCATTCTGTGCCAACGCTTGAAACAGCTGCTGGCGTTCCGTCGCTTGTAGAACTCCGACAATTGACCATTGCCTACAAAGGGGAAACAGTTCCGGTGCTCAGATTGGAACAAAGCCACCTTTCAGACTCGACCTGCTCAGCAGCATCCATCCTTGCAACCGTTTTGCACTTTGCTGAGGGCTACGCCAAGTCCTTGGATGGTGCACTGTCTTTTGCAGAAAGGGAAGCTTTCGCTGGAATCACCCACAGCCTTCTCTGTCTGAAGCCCAACAGTAAAAAGTACCCTCTACCAAAGCCACTCCAAGTCAAAACAGCATCTGCAGCATCAGCGGTTGCGAATACCTGCAAACTTGACCAACCCCGCAAGCCTCTTGCTCGACGTTCTAAGCCTGGTGTGTCTGACACAGCATTAAAGAGCCTTGCTCCCCGCTTGGAAGACCCTGAAAGATATTCGAGGTCCAAGGATAAAGGAAAGAGTGCTCTGCAGGTTGCAGCGGATAGGACTAGGCGTGAGTATAAGCGAGAGCACAAGGCCGTGGCTCGCGAGCTTCGCCTGGATGCTGCCTTCGTCGAGGAACAACGGCGCAAGGACGAAGCAGCAAAAACCAAGAGGGCTCGTGCCGAACGCAACAAGAACTTTGCTTGGCTGGAAGGAGAACAAGCGGCTATGAACCAGCAAGTTCGCCAAGGCGGTGGCCTGTTGAAAGGAGGCGGAATGGGTGCTGCCAAGGCCAAAGCAAAGAGTGCCAAGCTGGGCATCAAGAAGGGAGGCAAGTTTTGAGCAGATGTATGTATCTGGCCTAAACTATAAGCAAGTGAGTTTTTCCCATTGGCTTCGTGTGAGAAATTGCGGTTGCATAGTGCTGAGATATTTCACGGATTTGAAGCAGCGCAAACACCAGTACCGCAATGTCAAGCTAGCTAGTCGCATGGTTGTGGAGTACATGTACTTCGCGTAGCTCTTCACTAGTTCGTTATTTAGTTAGTCAACCAAAACTGTTGAATCCTCCCGCGCACTGCTGGATTCTCTGCCCCCATGTTTTAACTTCATGAATGTTAGCTTTGCTTTTAAAATTTGATGATGCATTTTTCCTTGTTTCGCCGGCATTATGGTGCTGCTGCTGTCATACTGCCTTCTTCCTCCAGTCGATTCCGCTTGGGTGGAGATGCACCCTTTTCATCTGTTTTCGTTGGCGAAGGTCGTTTGCTGGTGCCGCCACCGTCGGGACTGCCGGCCAGCCGATGTTCCTTGTTATCCACATCATGGATCGTCACAACGCGCGAAGGAATGGCGGAATCGTCCACTTTTTTCTCGTCGTTATCGTCATTGTTGTTGTGTTGATGTTCCACAGAAAGTCTCGAGATGGGCGACGGAGATGGATTGGTGGTCATGGAAGTCGGGGATGGATTGGGAGTTGCGCGACTGTCACCTCCAAGATGGCCGCCATTGGTATTGCTGCTGGTTCGTCGTTCGGGTGTTTTGGGACTCTTGGATCGTGCCGTGAGAGTGGCACAGTGACGACTGGCAATTTCTTCTTCCTCCATGAAGCGACGTCGATCAGCTTCTTCCCGTGTCATGCATGCCTGCCGGGCTTCTTCACTTACGTCTTCCCATGCCTTGATGAGCCTACAATTCAAATTGGCATTGACCAAGTATGGATCCAATGGTTCTCCCTCTCGTGCACGAGTAGATCTTCGGACTTCTTCAACAGCTAATGGGCGCATGCTGTCTCGCATGTCCATGACAAAAAAGTGAAATGCCGTTTTGATGGGTGCCACTTGAGAAGGACTAATTTCGGTCAAGGCAGCCTGTCGCAATCGTTCAGTTTCCAAGTCATCGGCAATTTTGGTGGGAGAGGAACGTGGTTGTTGTGATGACGATGATGCATGGTGGTGACTCGATGGCAAATGATCAGGCTGTTGTTGCTGTTGTTCAGGACTGGATTTGGTGTCCCTTCGCCCAGCAGCAGAAGAGGAAGATGCCATGGGGCTACTGCGCTGAGAAGCAGTTGCCGCCGCTACAGACACAGGAGGCGGTCCTGGAGCGGCTGGACTGGGTCTAGAGGCAGGTGGGGGAGCACTGGCTCCTCTAGGTCGTTGGAATGGTGGAGTTTTGGCTCTGCCTACTTCACTGCGAGATTGCTGCATGGGGTATCCACCGGGTCCACCTTCATAGGCTCCACTACCAGCATATCCATAAATGGGTCTTCCTTGATAACCTCCTCCAGGAGAGTACGCTGTCGAATGATGGTGGGGCGGATAAGCATGATGAGGAGAATATCCATGAGGTGGAGGAGGTCCACCGTAAGGATGACCTGGCGGGAAGGCGGCATACGGAGGGTACGGTGATCCATATCCAGGTGGAGGGGGACGGTAGCCACCTCGTGAAGGAGGTTCCCCATCATTCCCCTGACCATGTTCGGAGGAAACGGGGACTGGCATAATGCTTCTGCTATGCTGGTGGTAGAACGAATAACCGCTTTTGAATGTGGATTGACGCCGCGAAAAATCAGGAGAATCAAAGTAACTGGTGCTATGAAATGACGAAACCGAGACCGGAGAGGGCCGAAAGGCGGACGGTCTCTTGGCAGGTGGAGACGAAAAGACTTGAGTTGGAACGGCGCTCTCTTCTCTTTGTGATGTTTTGACGGTGACTGATATGGGTTTTCGGTTTTCTTCTTGTATTTCTTCTGGTTTCACCGCAACAGTCCCCGATGTCATACTCTCCTCAATCTCCACGCTGCTCCTGATAATAACGAACTGATGACAGTCTACAGATACAGTAACACGCCTTGTTAACCACGGTGATCAGAGCTGATAGAATTCATGAACTGGGTCGATTTCAATGAGATGATGCGAAGTGCACGATGGCAACAAAAAACGAAAATAACGGGCTTGCGATTTATGGGACCGTTGGAATGTCGGAAGCCAATGATAGGACCGGTGCGCGAACGAAGCTTTAGGGATAGAGATAACAAGCACTACGATGTTCTTTCGGCCCTGCGGGCTGGTTTGAACGAGACAATGGCGGCATTCGCTCGTCGCCAGAAACTCGTCCGTGTCTGGACCATACCGGTACGTACGCTATCGGTGTTGTTATTTGCAGCAGAGCAAGCACCATGAGCACCCAAGTAGAAGAGCTGACCGGTCGGCTGTCCAAGGTGGCACTGGCAGATGTCCAAGGCAAAGAAGAGGAAGAAGAAGAGATTGATGGAATCGAGTTTGTAAACTACACGGATGAGTCACAATTGGAATATGTCATGGATCTAGTGGGGAGGGATCTTTCAGAGCCATATTCAAGTGAGTAGATTATGAACGAAAGCTCTAGCTAGTTGGTGTGTCCGTTGTTTTGTTTTTGGTTGGCCGATCCTTGTACCTGCACTGTGGACCTGAATGCTCACATGAAGTCTCTGTACCGGTATCACATTGAAATGCTTGTAGTTTTCACCTTTCGTTACTTTTTAGCCCGATTTCCATCGCTCTGCCTCTTGGCTGTATCTACCGAGGACTCCAGCCGAGAACCGATTGGTTGCGTAGTTGGCAAGGTTGACGACGAAGAAGTCTTTCAAGCGGGAGAAATGAAAACTGTACCGACGGGTTATATTGGAATGCTAGCTGTAAGCAAGGAATATCGTCGTCGTGGCATTGGAAAGGCTCTTGTCAAACGAGTAGTGGAGCGCATGAAGAAGCTAGGATGCACTTCCGTGACCTTGGAGACGGAAGTATCCAATGTGACGGCTCAAAGACTCTACCAAGATTCCTTCGGATTCATACGCGAGGAACTGTTGGTCCGATATTATCTCAACTTTGGTGATGCTTATAGACTTAGACTCTGGTTTTAGATGCCTCATTGCTACCATAGTTGCTGATAACTGTGACAGCACATTCCTGGTCGGTCGGCGCCGCGGTGCTGGTAACTAGGACCTGTGTTTCCCGCACCTATAGTTGTCGATCTATCGACTGCGAAAACAAGCTACATGCATAATGCACACCAGGGGACAATCTACTAAGAAAATTGTTCTATGCAAAGATCTTCTCGCGGATAGCACTTATCGACTGGTTTCGTGTAAATCCGGTTCATTCTAGCTAAATGCAAAACAGTGTATGCAAAATGGCATGCATGCATCTCTAACCAAACATGCGCCTCTTGAGTTCTGTGCGGATCATCCACAGTTCTTTCGCAGCTCCACCCGCAATTGCGCTGTTCTCGTTGGCTCGACGGATCAGGTAGGGCATCACTTCACCAACCTCACCGTACGGAACGTACTTGTAGGCACGGAATCCGTTCTGTCCCAAATTGTACGTGAGCATGTCCTGCATTCCATAGAGCTGGGCAAACGAGATTGTCGAAGATTGGGGATCGATGTCGAGTTCATCCATTGTTTGGATAGCTTTTTCAATGCTCCCTTGGTTGTGAGATGCCAGCATGAGCTCCACCTTGCGGTCATCTACCGCCTCGACGCTTTGACGCAGTAAAAAGTCGACCGAATCATTGTAGCAGGCATGAGTGTCTTCAATGGTATCATGGATTGGGCTTGGATAGTCCAGGGACTCCGCTAGGGCACGCTCGCCTTCCATGTATGCGCCCCGAACGAGCTTGGCACCAAAGTGAAACGAATGACGCTCGGATCTTTCCATATCGGTTTTCAACCGTTCAGCGGTATCCTTGAGATAACATTGGTAGGTGTTGTAAATAATTGGTTTGTCTGTCTTGTCCACTGCATTGTAGTTTCGCTGCACAGGATAGGATACAACAGGTGAGGCGCATCAAGTCCCAATGGTCAGCCATGCAACAAGAAAACTACTCGTTGCGCCTCCCGCGCCACCTGCTCACTTACCTCTAGATCTAGCACCAAGTTGTCAATGGCCGGTTGAAATCGGTACTGTTCTGCATCAATCAAGAGACGCGTTCCACATTCCGAGGCCTCTTTCGCCAGTTCATGCCCTCGGTTGAACATTGCCTCCATGAGTTCCACTTCCTCTTCTGTGGGCGACACCAATGAGAGGGGTCCAATTTGGCGGCACTTGGCCGTAATCTTGGGAAGGTCCATGGGTTTCAACATCATCGACCATGTGATGAAATCCACTCGGCCTGTATGGTTGGGATCGAGCACTTCATACATTTCGTCTAGGTCTGTTTCCACGTCATCGCGAAAGAAGAACTTGTAGCCTTGTTCAAACTCTGCTCTAGAAATGAAGCCATCTTGATCAGCATCAAACTTGCTGTACAAGTTCTTCACTTCTCGTAGCGCTCGGGACATTTTCTCCAAAAGCTTGGGGTTGCCCAGGGCTGTTACTTTGATGGCTGCAAACCCGTCCGCATCAAGGTTTTTGACGCTTCGAATGCACTTTTTGAAGGTCTCTACGTGACGATCGCATTGGTGTTCAGACTCGTAGTCATACATTCGAGCTTTGGGAATGGCATCCTGAAAAACCTGATCTACCGTTTCCACAACGGGAGTAGTTGTCGTGTCTGCGCTGTCACTTTCGTTGCTGGCACTGCCTGATCCATCATCCTCTGCTGCATAATCTAAAATGCTACCAATTCCACTACTCTGTAACTGTTTGAGAACAGGCCTCATTTGTTCTTCATTTTCACCGCCGCAAAAGTGTCCAAAGAGACTGGCTTTGAGCATGGCATCGGAGATTGTTGCCCCAAGCACTTTTCGAGAGAGACCCAAGAGCATCTCGGAGTGTTTGACCAAAATTGGGATACGACAGAGCTGGAATACAGTCATCGCACGGACCAATTCCATGGTGGTCTTTGTCTCATAGGCGGCCTTGGCATCACTAAAATCCGGCACGGGCAGTTTCTTCTTTGGTTGAATCTTCGTTTCCGAGTTGTGAAGTTGGTGATTTTGTGCGTTGTCAAGGGACAAGGTGCTCTTCCATTGCTGCTGCTGATGACAACATCCAAGTGGGCGTTTTGCGTGAGCTAATACTCTCGAAGATGGTGATAGCAGCCCACGTTTGCTGCTGATGGAGACTATTGCTCGGCGTGACAACATTGTCATTGCTTGTTCGGTTTCTTGAGTTCCTCAATGCTTTCTGCTAAAAGTCAATAAAATGTTCAGTCAGTTGGAACTTGCTTTCAGAGGGTTTGTGTGTCGTTCAATCAAATGAGAGCTTTGCATTTGGTGATGCTTTGAAGCTGCAGGACCTGGTCCAGCCTTCTCTGCTTGATGTGAGCATCACCGTTCTGGGATCAAAGTGCTTCAGACTTCTCACGACATCTCTCTTCCGGGCTCCCTTCCGAATGGTGACATCACTTCCTAAACATACCAGTAGAGCTGGTATGACAGCCAGTCTTCATTCTCGGTTAATGGTCGCCTCCACGTCAGATTTGAAGACATGGTTTCAATCTGACACTAAAGATCCCTCCAAGAATGAAAGATCCAACTGTTGATCCAACTGACTGTTGATGAGCTTCTTTTCCTTCTTCACTTTCCACAACATCTCCATTGGATGATACACCCATTGGGATTGCCAACACTAACGTTGAAAATCAAAGACTACTAGTAGCGATGAATTCCGTCAATCAAGCTTGGAGGCTTCTATTCCTCTTCCTCGGCCTGGGAAGGGTGCTGGGTTTTGTTTCGCAGCCGAACCATCACTTCATGGGCATTAGCAAGCCAGTGCCGACCAGCTCTCTGCGCATGTCAAGCTCTGACTCCAGTGCCCCCGTTGTGGCCTCGGTTTTGGCAGCAGCCTTTCTTTTCTCCAATATAATCGCTGTGGCCCCGGCATTTGCTGATGATCCCATTGACAGCAGCAGTCAAGTGATTGCAGCCCGAAGTGGTGGTCGCATGGGAGGCAGATCCTCCATGGGTAGCAGAGGTAGATCCTCCATGGGTGCTTCAAGAGGTTCTTACAACTCCTACAGTCGTACAACAGTGGTCCGTCCCATGGTGACCTCCCCTGTCATTGTGGCCCCGCCAATGTACAGCCCCTTCAGTCCTTTTAGTCCTTTTGGTAAGTGACAATCTGCAGTTTTCTCTGCATCTCTCTACCCTGCTGTGTCTGCCCTCCATTGCATGCCGTCTAACAGAGAGAATTTTAAATAATTTTATTCAGGCTTTGGATTTGGTTTGGGCGGTGGAATTGGAGATAGCTACCGTGACTATCGACAAGATGGTGAGATTGCGCGTGAACGATCTGAACTTCAGGAAGCGAAAATCCGTCAGGCCGAGTTGGAGCAGAGAATTGCTCAGCTAGAAGGTGCTCCCAAGGCATTGCCACAGCAACAACCAGCGCAGTAAATTCTTTTCGGTTCTATCCAGCATTATGAAATACATACCTCCTTTGCAGCAATCTTGAACTGACTTGATGGAGCGGGTGCTCAGCTTAACACTTTTAATAATAAGCGCAAGTCAGATCCTATAATTGTCTTTCGTGGAGATACTCACATTTGCTTGTTTGCATAGAATGCCATTTTCAAGAGGCAATCATAAATTGCTTCTAGCGGTACCGTACTAGAGCAGCAGTTTGCGCCTTTCTGAACAATCCCCACAGAAATCGAAGAACTCGAGCGGTAGTTAGTGTCTGTCTGCATCATCGGAAAGCTCGCTGCATTACAAACAGCTACATCAGTTAGTTTTCCAGCTAGCTAGCTAGCTGGTGGCCATGGGTATACCACTGAATAAAGCTGCTCCGAGACTTGGCTTTCGAGAAGCAGTGTGTCAGCAATTCCAAGCCCCTTTGCCGGCTAATTGCCACCCGGCAATTTCGCCTGGAGTGACGTGTTCAAAGTTTGAACCCCATTCGTCATGGTTGCTTTGAAGAGGCAATCAGCAACAAAGACATCCACAACGCCCTAATAGCCACAACTTTGTCTCCTTTGCTGTTTTGCACTGCTACTGTCGCCTCAGCTTCGAAACATTTCGAAATGGTCCGTCTGGTTTCTTTCGCGTTGCTCGCCTCTGTCTTGATGCAGTCGGCATCGGCCTTTGTGGCTCCCTCCGTGCCCAAGGCCTCGTCGTCTTTGAAGATGAGCCAATCGGTGGACGACGAAAAGAGGTTTGCTGCCTCAGTTCTCACGGCCGCTTACATCTTTGCCAATGCTGTGTCGGTGGCCCCAGCCTTTGCTGTCCCTCAAGACTTTGCTGGAAGCACCCATATTGTTGCTGCCAAGAGTGGTGGACGTATGGGAGGCCGTTCCTCCGTGGGAACTCGTTCGGCCGCGCCCTCTTCATCATACTCCAGGCCAAGTACTACTGTCGTACACAAGACTGTCATTCAATCTCCGACTGTAGTAGCTCCTCCTGTGATGGCTTCTCCCGTTTATATGGCTCCTCCGGTTTATGCACCACCCGTCTACTCTCCTGGCTTGGATGCTGGTGCTGTCGGTACGTTACGCTTGGCTTGATCGAAGATCTTGTGGATTTGACGATATACTCTGTGTTCTCACCTGTGTTTTGGCTATTTATGTTCTTAGGTTTGAGTGTTGGTCTTAGTGCCATCAATGGCATTAGCCGTGAAATGCGTGAGCAAAGCCAGGAACGTGAGATTGCTAGAGAAAGGGAGGAATTGGCACAGTCTCGCATGAGACAAGCGGAACTCGAAGGCAGACTTCGAGCTTTGGAAGCTACCCAGCGCTGAGTACTGGAGCTCCAAAATAGTGTACAGAACCGCAGTCTATTTGCTGCTAGCTAGTCACAGGCTGTTCCCAAGCAAGCTGACTACTAAAACCACAATAAATCCCTTGTACAACGCAATAGCTTCAGTGTTAGTTGTGCTTGGGTCTTTAGCCATCCCGTAGTAGGATATGAACGAATTCTACTAGGCTCGTGAACTAGGTTCAACAGCTGTGGGAGTGCTACAAGCTTGCATGCCACATGTACCGTACCGTACGTAGGATACACATCGTGGTGTCGGTTGATACCAGTACCATGGTCTGGAGAGCTTCGGGTTGGCGGAATACCGTCTACATAGCTAGATCACCCCCCTGGTAAACGAAGGCATGTGCAGTCCAAGGAGAGACGGTTCTGTACTAGTATGGGTTTTGCTCCGAGTTGGTCGGCATCGTTTTGTGTTTGATGGCATAAGTCCCAGGAAACCGATACAGCGACTATGGGCTTGCTACATCTCCAACAATAGCATTGTAATAATAAGTAGAAACTCTGCCTGCTCTGCAAAAAGCAACAGAGCTGAACGGTTCAAACTAACATAACTAATAGGGAGTCGGGTATTTTTATTTCCTTTTTTTTGTGTAGTAGTCACATCCAAGGACAATCAGGAAACTACAGAAAGGCACAGGTATCGGCATATCGGAATCAAGGTCAGGCAATCATCAATCGTTTTGTTTTCTCATTTACTCGTCCTCGCCAAAGCCTTCATTTTCTCCAAACTCTCCACTAATTTCCTCCTCATCCGCTGTTGCATCCTGGTACTGCTGGTACTCGGACACCAAATCATTCAAGTTCGACTCAGCTTCGGTGAATTCCATTTCATCCATACCTTCTCCGGTGTACCAATGAAGGAAAGCCTTACGACGGAACATGACTGTGAACATATCCGCCACACGCTTCCATGCCTCCTGGATCGCCGTGGAGTTACCGATAAAGACACTGGACATTTTCAGTCCTTGTGGGGGAATGTCGCAAATCGATGCTTTGAGGTTGTTGGGGATCCACTCGACAAAGTACGATGAGTTCTTGTTGATCATCTGAAGCATCTGATCATCAACCTCCTTACTGGACATGCTTCCACGGAACATCATGGCACAGGTGAGGTAGCGACCGTGACGAGGATCGGCAGCACACATCATGTTCTTGGCATCAAAAGCCTGTGTGGTGAGTTCGGGGACGGTGAGGACACGGAATCCCTGGGAGCTGCGGGCCGTCAGAGGAGCAAATCCGACCAAGAAAAAGTGCAGACGAGGGAATGGGACCATATTGACGGCCAACTTTCGCAAATCACAATTCAACTGTCCCGGGAAACGCAAGGAGCAGGTGGTTCCAGTAATGGCATTGGCAATCAGATGATTCAAATCTCCGTAGCTCGGGTTGGTGAGTTTCAGGGTTCGGAAGCAAATGTCATAAAGAGCCTCATTGTCAAGTGCAAAGCATTGATCGGCATTTTCCACAAGTTGATGGATAGAAAGGGTGGCATTGTAGGGTTCGACCACGGTATCGGAGACTTTGGGAGAGGGTACCACACTGTAGGTACTCATGATACGATCGGGGTATTCCTCACGAATTTTCGAGACAAGAAGGGTTCCCATACCTGATCCGGTTCCTCCTCCCATCGAATGAGTGATTTGAAATCCTTGCAAAACGTCACAGGATTCAGATTCCTTGCGGACCACTTCCATAATGGCATCAACGAGCTCGGCTCCTTCGGTGTAGTGACCTTTGGCCCAATTGTTTCCAGCTCCAGATTGACCAAAGACAAAGTTATCGGGACGGAACAATCCACCGTAAGCTCCAGCTCGAATGGCATCCATGGTACCAGGTTCCAAATCGGTCAACACGGCACGAGGCACGTAGCGACCTTCCTGTCCTTCATTGAAGTAGACATCAATGCGCTGGGTCTGCAATGGATTGTCTCCCTCGTATTCTCCAGTGGGGGAAATGCCATGCTCTGCTGACATGACCTATTGTCGCAATAGTCGGTCATCGTTCCCAGCCAGAAAACGAACAATAAAACAAGTGTGTTAGGCAGCCAATCAGAGCGTCCACGGTGATCCATCGGACGATACGAGAGAGATGCCAATAAAAAAATTCCAACGCCACACAAACTAAGGGAGAAAAGAAATCTAAGGGCATCCTCCTCCTCATGGGAGAGGATGTTCTAGGTCACAGCTTGTTGCTTGGCGGTGATGTCCTTGGCGGTGACGTCCATGGTCCATAACCAGAAGCCGCCAAAGGCGAAAGATACACAAGATACCGCCCTCTTCACCACGACCGTTTCCGCTTACCTCCCAGAACTTGGCACCAATTTGGTTACCGCATTGTCCGGCCTGAATGTGAACGATTTCTCTCATGGTTTCGATAGATGATAGTAAAACAACAACAAATGATCAATGCCAACCAATACTACAACAGAGTTCTAGTTGGACTACTGGTGCATTGAAGGCATGCAATGTCTGGCTACACCAAAGATGCCGACGAGAGAAGGCTCCCGATCTTCCGATGGGCGGTTGACACAGTCACTGTGTGTCGCCTGTCAGACCACCTGCATGCACGCGCAATTCCCAGAAAAAAATACTACAATGCTGTATTAGCATTAGAGTTAACTGATACCGGCTAATAGCGCGCGTGGGGTTAGACAATGGCACCGCGGACGATGGCACCGACCGACGGATTTCGAAGGGAGGATGTTTGAGGACCGTTTCCATCTTTGACAGAGCTGCAACGATGTAGTTTGCTATAGTGCTATAGTTTCAGGATCGTTTCCAGCAATCCATTCCCTGAATCCTCTTGAAAGAGTCGACGTCTTGTTCTCACAAAAACAAACTTGCTTGGACCACAAAAGCCAACCTGCTTGAAACAAAACACACAAATCTTCCATTCCGACCAACATCCACCAACTTATCATCATGACATCTATCTACCATGGAACCAACACTGCCAATGGTGCAAACAGCAACATGAAACCTTCCTTTTCTTCTTCTGGTGGACAAGTTCAGCAACGCAAGGACAAGTTGGAAGAAGTTTGTGCTGCACAGCGTGGTCTCAAGATTGTCAAAAAGTCCAAGTGGCAGGTCGGTGGTTCTGGCTATGGCTCTGGATTGTACAAGAAGAAGACAGTTGTCCGCTTTGAAGATGTCGATGGCAATAAGGTCCCCGTTGCCAAGAACTTTGCCAAGAATGAATAGATATGTATGTGGCGATGGGGTGCAGAGTTGATTTATTTGTTCAGGTTGTTCACAGCTCAGGAGTTGTATCATAGAGCCTTCTAAATTGAAATAGGATTGATTGACTATACCTTGGTTTCATCAACTGCATTTATCTCCCACACCCATCAGTACTATCTTTTTCCAACCACGTTCTGAATCAGCATTCAAGGGTCCATCCAGTGATGAGGGGTTGTGTTGATGGTGGCTGTCAAACGTCGAGCTAATCTGCGAATACAAGGCGCTTGCATACGACTGTATCACGTAGCTTTTAAAAGTTGATTGCGACAGTGTTCTTGGAGGGAGACAGGCAAAAAAATCTTCTCTCGTAACTAGACTATATCTTTGCTGGCTAGCTACGGTAGCTAGGTCACCACACCCTTATCCCAACTATCGTACATCGTAGCATTATTATTGTGATATCTTGGATCTTGGTGGCCATCAATTTATTTTAAAAAACTTCCACTCCGCGATCGATGGATCATCCGAGGAAAAGTATTAGATCTAGTAAATGATTCCAAACAATTTTCATGGCCACAATGACGACACCAAACGACACCAATGAAGAGTCTTCTCCTCCTCGCTCTGTGTATCGAGGAGTGCTATCTTTGTTCAAAAAGGAACAAGAGTATAAACTGCATCCTTTTGATTTGGAGTTGCTGACTACCACGAAACTGCTGCTGAGAAAAGGATCACGACGACAAGCGAAGAATAAGGACATCGAGGCATCTTCTGCTGAAGCTAAGAGTGCCGAGACTGCTGCACTGGAAGATCAGATTGCAAAGACGGAAATCACGCTGCTATTCTTCTTTCATGCCACCCAACCACACTCTCTAAAGTTGCGACGAACTGTAGCAAATTTCTGTAATGATCACTCGGACACAGTTCACTGCTTGGCGCTCTTCGGTGGCGACTCAGAGGCTCAAACTGAAACAGAAAAAGCAGATATGGATGTTTTCTTGCAAGGAACAGGTTTCACGTACTTTAGTGACACCAACAACAATGCCAATACGGTTCTCAGGTTCCTCGATGTTACCCAAATACCGTCTCTGGTTGTCATTCCACACGCCACTGGCCACCCAATTATGGGCCAAGAAGCTGCTCTGGAATGGAATGCGGTGGAGCCTTCGTCTGCAGAAGATTTGTTGCAACGATGGAAGGGAGGAGGTTCTGGAATGAGTCTTTCCCAATCGATTCTTTCGGGAGCCCTTGGGGGTTCATCTTCGGCTTGCTCCATCATGTGAATTGGATGGATTGCTCTTTTGGGTATACTCTAGCTAGCGACAATAAACTTGCTTGTTGCTACATATCATTCGTGAGGCGAAGCACTCTCGCGTTCTTTCGGGTTCCAATGGTAGATCAGTTGTTCGGTTGGTACCAGGTAGCTGCCAGAAATGCAATTAGCCGTGGCTTGCCTGACAACGACGACAACCCGGATTCGATTCGATGCACTCCAGGAAAGATACAAAATCGTAGATCTGTCTCGGCCAGCAGGATATTCCAGGACTGCCCCGCAATATCCCGACGTTTGTTGAGGTGTGCTCTTCCGTCAACACGCAAGTGTTCATGAGGCAAAAAAAAAACGTTCCAGCAACTAACCGAACTCCTCATTCGCCCGATGCCTGATTGAACTATAAAGTAAACCATGGAGTTGAAACTTTGGTTCAATTTGCCTTCACAAAAAGGATGAGCGTGACAAAAGCTGCCAAGAATACCACTGAACACAGCCACCGACAAAGACGCCTCGTCGTGCGACTGCCACAGAACCGTATTCGTTTGGCAGTATCACTGTTACTACTAGACGCCACCACGACCCCATTCCCTTGAAATTTTCGGGCACTGATTGTCACGTATTTTGGAGAAGACTTGATAATATCAGCAGCGGCAGTGGGATCCAGGTCCCGACAGGGAATCCCATTGATGGACAGTACCTGATCACCAACGGCCAGCAAGGAGTTTGCAAACAAGCCGTCGAAAAAGACACTGCAGACGTATATTTTGGAAGGGTTATCCGAGGAGGAGAATCCAATACCCGCCCGGGCATTCGGATATGGCTTTGTGATCATGGATTCCACTTTGCAAGAATCTCCCTTTTTGGTATTATTATTCTGTGCCACAATGGTGACAAAACCAGAGGATTCTCGCAGCATTTTGGCAGCATATTTGTGATCCATCTGTGCACCACAACTCTTATTGTTGATACTGATGACCTTGTCTCCTACTTGAAAAGGAGCTCCAGATTTGAAGACCAAACCCGTTTTCTTGATTTGTGAAATGTAGAATCCATTCTCCTCTGGCAACGACCGAAAGGACAAGCCGAGTTCTGTGTCAATCGATGCTATGATGATTGTAGCGCTGATAAATCCCGCTCGTTTCTCATCTTCACTCTCCGCAGGCATTCTCCCATCCATGGAGATGACAGCAGTAGTGTCCACGGTAACAGCGGTAGCATGACCTTCCTCATCTTCGTTATCTACATGTACTGAATCAGCATCTGACACCACATCGCAGGCTTCGGCACACGATGAAAGATCGATCGTTGGAATTGGATCACTATTGCCTGATTCTATATCGTCATCATCGCATTCGATTGCTTCCACTGTTGCGGATGGTGGGAAAACACTGGATTCAGAAGAAGCAATCGAATCTGTCTGACTCCCTCCTTGTGGCATCCTCGATACTGATACTACTGTAGCTTGGGGGAGGCAACTGTAATATCAGGTCTGGTAACACGTTTTTCCAACTGAGACGAAGGACAAAAATTCGAATGGAATCCGGAGAGAAATAATGATGTCAAAAGGGATTGTGGCAAAAATATTTTAACTTCAAAAGTACATGTACATGTAAGTTAGTTCAAAGCCGCAAAAATAATCAATCACCAGAAATCCATTGTCTGCGGGTACTAGTATGCCATACTAGTAGCTAGTCTAGACTAGTTTAGCTAGCTAGCTAGTACATGTAGACTACCTCTACCGGTACCGTACTTGGTACTGTACCGTACTAGTACTAGTACACTCTCATCATCAACTCCTGGTGTCCTGGTAGCAAAAACAAAGGGATTGGATATGTACATGTACATGTACCTCAAGCTACGGGGTACGTAGCTGAAATACTAGTAGTATACAAATGCCACGGCTTGCCACAGGGGCTACTTGTCGGGATGGGGTTATCGACTTGGGTAGAGTGAAGAAAACCTAAGCTATGTTCAAGCTTCTCAAAGGGAACAAGAGCATGGAACTCGGGGCAAGGCTCAGAAAGACCTGAAGGTATACTGGGATTCAGTGTTTTTGGTAATAGGAAATGGAACAGTGGCCATGCTTGGTACCGGTAGGAGAGGTGGCACTGCGACCTCATCTTGGAGACGTAGGCCAATGCATGGAATGCATGGAGAGTAACCCAGACGAGGCAGCGGAAAGCCAACCTTGGGATTGAGTTTTGCTGGCCCTGGTTTTGCTTTTGCGAGCCGTTGCACTAGGGTTGTGGGACCAAACATGCCATTGTGGCAACAGATGAATGAATTCAAGACGGGGCCCACTGGAAGCCTTGATTCTTGGAGGTCTTCCACTTTTCTTGATAAAAACGTCCTTTGAGCGTCCGGAGATACCTTTGCAATCATCATGTTGTATACCCCGACATTGGAAATCTCATTGCTCAAACCCATTTAATGTGTTCCTCCAGATCATCCAGTGAAATGCCCAGCAGATTCAAAAAGATGTCCTGGTTGACAACAAAATAGGAATTCAGCTGCTCTATTGCTGCTGTCGTTTGTTCCTGAATCTGCTCTTTCAGATTTGTTTTGACCACATTTGTAATGTTTTCAGAGAAGCCTTTGACTGCCTTGTTCAGCAACCAATCAACCCCAGTATCTTCCACCTTTAGGCGGACGTTTTCGATCCCAACCTCCAGTTCTCGAAGGATCAAGACGGGAGCAACGGAATCAGAACCCACGTTGCCAATTCGTTCTCGAGCACACTCAACACGGAGAAGAATGCACACGTTATCGATCGAGACAGCTCCGCAACCCTCAAACACAGGGTCGAAGATTGTTCGTTTCTCTCCCTTTTCGATTCTAAATCGAAAGCGCTCCAAATGGAGTGTCAAATTTTTCATTTCCAGCAGGAGAACAGTTGGGTCGACTCGAGGGTTGAATCGGTTTCGGTTTTCTTCGACGCTATCGGATCCCGACAGCGAAGATGGCATCCCTATAGGAGAGGTCCTTCCCCACGACAAATCGTCAACAGGCGTCTCGGCGTCGCCGTCGTCCGCGCTCTTTTTCTCCTCCAATTCTTTGTGTAGCTGGATCTGGTAGGAAACGTCGCGTATGGCAATCTCGAGTAACTCGTCGTCATCGATTTCAAGGTTACGCCAGAGATCTATGCCACAGCTCAACACCGATGTTATGGGAAGTCCGCCCAGGACGCTCGCCACGTACTTATCCGTTGGTTGCTGGTAACATTGCAAGCGGGGAGGATCAGCGTCAGGCTAGGACAAAGCCATGTCGAGACAAAGAAGCAAGCGAGGACACCCTTACCTCTCCAACCCCACCAATGCCAACTCTCCAAGCACCATGGCGCTTGGCTTGTAGGATCATTTCGCGGATGTGATCCAGTATCGACTCCTCGACCCGATCAGTTGATTCTGAGTTGTCGCTTGCAGACACCAAGGTTGCAGCAGAAGCATCTACCGACAAGTCAGCATCATCCTCGCCAAAGATGGGTAAGAAGAGGGCGTCTCCACCCATGACTTGGCAGACTAGATTCTCGCGTTTCACTTTGACATCGGACAGCGTAAGATCACCCCCGTCTTGTCCATGGCAGGTAAGAACCCAGCCGTCGCCAAGGTCGCGGCGTTCCACTGGAATCGAAAGTTTAGGCAGGTAGGCCTTCCAGGCAATTGGTCAACGCAATACAAGCAGTTAGAAGCCGAACGAAGCCTTCGACCACCAAGCAACGAATAACACCAACTCACCACAAAGCGCTCTATTGCGGTGGAAGCTTTCTCTCGAATGAAATCTGCAAGTTTGTCGGCGTCGTCAATGGCTTCAGACGCCTCTCTCAAGAGCTTGTCAATTTCGACTCCGTCGATGAGATTCAGAATGTCGTCATCGATGCTGTCAAAACGGACCAACTGTGAGTACAAAAACAGAGCTTGGGTCTTCACTTTGCCTCCTGACCAACGTCGAGCTCACCTTGGGTAATAGGGGACATGTGCCATCATCGCTTTGACATCACGAGAGAACGACGACAACGCAAGGATCAACTGCAAGAAAAGGATTCGTGAGAACGCACAAATTGACGAGACAACAACCAAGCAAAAAAATGCGACCCTTACCTTTGTGTCGAGCTCGTGGATGATTCGACAAGCGTCATATTCCAGAAGGAAATCAAGCCAGTCCTTATTGGAGTTTCCTGCGCTAATCTTGTGGAACTGTGCAACGCAAAGAGAGAAGATGCTGGAAAGGGGGCACATGAATTCCTTAGCATTTTCTGGCATCTGCGATACGACGTAAGAGAACTCTTCGTCTGCCGCATCAAGCAAGGGAATCCACAGGCGGCCAGCTACTGAAAGATCTTTCAGTATCCTGAGATGCCGCAAGGAATGAAAATTGGAAGCGTGTATCGTCAACATTCGTGACGCAACCTCCTCTCGACAAAACACCCGAACAAGAATTCTCTCAAGCACTTCGAGAACGTCGCCTTTCCGCAGAAGTTTCAGCAATGAACGTTTGGGAGCGGCTAGCAGCTGTATAAACTTGGCCAACTGTGCCAGCTTTTCGTTATTGCGCTCAGCTGCGCCAGTTTCGTTTGAAGACATTCTGACCAAGTGCTCGTAAATAAACATGGCTGTCTTTCGCAAGTGAACATGGCTATCAGGGTCAATGATTGTTGCCTTGACCAAGGAGTCTTCAATGCGGAGAAGGCAGTTCTTCCAATCACCCTCACATAGTCCATTAAAGAACGCTTCGTCCGCCAGGATCGAGTCTGCAAATCGCATGACTCTAATCTTAGCTTTCCTGCCTTGCTGTTCCATTCGTTGAGCAATCCCTCGGCCAACCTTCTCCACACGATCTTTTATGGGTAAGAAGGTCGATTTGATCTCCTCCAACGAGCTTCGCCAAATCCTGAGAGATTGCGGGCTAACATTTTTCTGTTGCACTTTGATAATTGTTCGCAAGAACATCAAAAACTCGTGGCACAGATCCATGGCTAGCCTGAACTGAGGTTGACCATCACTGGCGGCTCTTGCTAGGGACACTGTCCTCATCAATATTCGAATGACTGCAAATGCATGCTGATAGGAATCAGTACTCTCTTCCTCGCCCGCATCAATGACTTCAGATCTCTTGTGTGTAGACACTTGTGAGCGCTCGTCATCAGCAGTGATAGCTGAAGACCTTCTACTTTGAGGCGCAGGAAATACACCACCCAACATGTCGTTCAGAATCCAGATGCTGGCATCGTTGTCTTCCTGTCCATCTGACATGGAGCTTCCCTGCCCAGATAAGGTGACATAAGAGGCATCATCTCTTTCCATCAACGACGACGAGCTATCTCCAGATTCGCCCCCTTCGATGGAAGCCTTAGAAGGTGGAGGGCGATCAAGGCGCTCCAAGAACTCAATGATTGAAGTCATAAAGTTGCTCATGAAGTCAAACTCGTCATCTTCAACAGCTTTCAGGAAGCTCTTCCAGAGGACGTCCAGATTCTCAGTCCAGAACTTCCAAAGGTGATCATTCGAGTTGGGGTCTCCATCATTGTAGAACTGTTGCTGCCTCACCACTGCTTTGTAATTGTCCAGCATGATTTGGTAGTCACATGCTTCTTTAATGTGCTCGATGACGGGTCGGAACTGAGCACCGTAACAGGAATGAACGTCTTCACGATTGAGCGCAACAACACAGTTCTTATACACCCCGTCATCTTGCAGGGTAACGATGTAGCGTCCATTTTGAAAGTTTCGTCCAGCATCCACATACCCAAGCACCTTGCCTGATCCGCACTTTGTTTGAACTTCGAAACCCACCGACGCTTCAAGGACTCCTTGGATGCAGGAACGATTGAGATATGCGTGGGCAGCCCCATTTCCTCGTCGTTGCCAAAGCGATCGAACTACGTGACAGTCATCTTCCACACGCCAACCTACAACAACTCCAGCCCCGTAAGTTGTCGCAACGCAGGCCCCAATCGGCACCTCGGAGTGTTTGGGCATGTACCTGGAGCTCCACTCATCCATGACCCTGAAAGTCAGTTCTGCAAATTCACCATTGCGGAGGAAGGACTTGTCAATTTTGCATGTCACAGACAAACAGTTTGTAGTCCCCACGTCTTCTGATGCAGCACGGCTACCGGTTGGATCCACGTAAACCCTTTTGCTGGACACCACCGTAGCCAACTGATAGTTAGAGCGGCCGACTCTTTTCAATCCAGGCTGATGCGGAAACATTGGGGCTGCAACTTTGACCCCAGGAGCCAGAGGCTGTCGTTGCGGATGCAAGCAACTACGGGCTGCTTTGTCCTCGCCTGCAGTACTCAGAGTGAACTCGTATGTTACCAAATGCTCAAGCTCGTAGGATTGGCTCTCCAGGTGGCTTAACATCGATGCATCCCGAATCACTTCAGTGCCCAGGGAGTTTACATTTCCAATAGTCACTGGCGATCTCGAGTGCAGTTTCAGAGGCGCGTCATCAGCACCTTGAAGCATTGACATTGGTGAAGTTTCTTGAAGGCGTTGTGTCCGAATGATCGAGGGTGGTGCAGGGGGGCCTTCACTGCTGACAACACTCGATGGTCTGCTGTTGTTGCTGTCCTTGTGATTGTTCCTGCTGTAGTTGCGAGGGGACGCAGCTGAATTCTCTTCATCACTGAGGGCACCTGCAACAGCAGCAGATGTCCACATGGAGTGTACTGGGCGAGTGGGAGTCCTTCGGGCGGCAGGCCTCTTCAAACCAGCCATAGATATCAAAGATTGAATGTCAGCTGGGCCAGCAAAATCAAAGGTTGGCGTTTGGCCGCCTTCTCTCGGACTGGCCACAAACTTGTCTGTGATATTCTTGATTCTCTCTGCAGCTTCCTGAGAGGCTACGACTCGTTGTAAGTGTGTTGAATTCAGCACTCGCATTCCAATTTTTGCGGAAATGTCTACCCAATTCATATCAGCCACTACTGCCGAGGAAACTGACGCCGCCGACGATCCCGAAGAAGGACTGTCCAATGACTTTTCGTTGGTTGCCGTTTCAGCAAGCATGATGTACCTGTTGCCGAGCGTGTTGTTGTTGTTTCGGTTGTATTCATGTCTGCCGGCAGGTGACATGGCCAGGCTAGGTTCCTGAGGCTGCGGCCGTACACTATCGCGGACCAACTCAATACCACCACCTCCAGATGGACTGCTGGGCGCTGTTAGGCCCACAATGTTGTGCCTTCCAACTGTAGCCGACGTTTGGTTGTTATCTGCTGGGAAACCACTGCGATAGTCATCTTCTTCGGACTGTGTTTCCGAAACAGCATTCAAGGGTCCATCTAGCGGTGATGGGTTGCGTTGATGAAAGACTGTCGAACGCCGAGCTCGTTTGCGATTGTAGTCCTCTTGAAGCATCAGATAGGTGAAATTTATAGCGACGATGTGCTTGGAGGTTGACTGGCTCCATTCTTCTCGGACCATGTATCTTGAATCCAAACAGAGCTGATTTCCAGCCTGTTTGATACAAGGCGGAGGCATGTTCCAGAGTTGTACGTGTCTACTCTGAGCCACCATTGTGTCTGTAAACTCAAACTCCTCCTTATTCCATTCACGCCCAGCAAATCGATTCCTTAGAAACACGTGCTTGTCAAACCACCGGGCAATGGCCAGCAGAATGCTGAGCAGTTTGATCAACTTGGGTGGACAGTGACGTTCCAGATCTTTCCAGTCAATGAGAATTGTTGATAATTGAATCGATAAAAGTAGTAATTCGTTACCACACCACATGAGAGCTACGTGAGTGACCGCAGCCACCATGGCAAGTCCAGCAATGACAAGGGCCCCTAATAGCAGCATTGTTCGGCTCAATGTGGCCAACAAGTTCTCTCGATTGGGCGCCTTTTCGTAGACAAAACCAACAATCGAAAGTGCCAAGGACAGAGGCTTTGTTTGTCGAATTTGCCAAACTTTGCGCTTCAGAACCCTCCAATTTCTTGTGCACAAGAGCGGAACTAACGTGAAATGTTCATCGGAATCCTTTCGAGCACCATCCTTCCGGCCCCTGCTAGTGGGATCAAAACGGAAGTGAGGATGGGAGTTCAATATCCTCGTCATATGATCTCCCACAGGGTCGGGTCGACTCTTTTTCTCGTATTCCTTTTCCGATGGGCGTGGTCGCTTGAGTACCAATGGCTGTAAAGCCTCGGCTGAAATCAGTTCTGATGTCTGTTTCCCGACATGCTGGAAGAGTTTTCGCTTTGATACCGTATTGTGGTTCTGTTGAGGACGTGGAGGATGGTGACTGTTGGTACTACTGCTTGTCTTGACCATGGCTTCTGAAGGTTAGTAGAAGAAGAAGATAGCTGCCGTGCCGATCGACAAGGTGATTGATTATCTCTTCTGGCGAACGGAGGCCGATGTGCAGTACGATGTAGACATGGGATGACACAAAAGAATAAGCTAAAAATTAAAAGGGGATTCTACGTCTACCTCGTTCTAGCGAGTCCCGGGAGGTTCACCTCGTGATTGCCAACCACCAGCTGGTTTTGGCTCCTCTCGCATCTTCGGTCAGATCCTTCGTCGACTCGACTCAATGCGTTATCTTAGATGCAGTCGTAGTAGTAAGTAGAATTAGCAATACGGTACAGTCGTAGGAGTCTCGATACTGGTGGCTCTATAGCTCTCATGCATTGGCTGTCTCAGCTTTTTATTAGTAGCGGTACCGGTACACTTGTAGCGGCTACCGATAGGGATCCGTGTCATTGCCGTTTGCCGTTGTGTTAATTTCTTTGATGCAGACGCGGGGTCCAAATCTTTTGCCAAGTTGGATCCATGCTTTCTTAAAACAAAGGGCAACGAATACGGCTTTTTAATAAAAAATAGATCATCGCAAAAAGATACAGTACTTGTACCGTGGTACCTGTGCTAGCCAGAGCCAAAACAAGCTCTCTAGCTAGCTAGTCTAGCCTAGCTAGTAGCAACTACGGTAGCTGCAATGCATATATCTGTATGCAGAAGTTGAAACTGTGGTGACTGACAATCAGTTCAGTTAAGCAGCAGGAACCGCAGGCGGGTCCTTCAGCCCTACCATGAGTTCTGCATCGGATCCATTCTCCATGATGGGATCAAAGATGGAAGCCAGCGTCACCCCTCGGCTACCCAAGTTCGGCACCTTGGCGTCCGCACCCTCACCATAGAAATCTTCATCTTTTGTTCCGCCTGTGTATGTAATGACGCATTTCATATTCTACATATTGCAACGGGAGAGCGGAGATAGATTAGAGATTGCTTGCTGCGACAAGCTATAAAATGTAAACGTTGATTGCTTGCTGAACTTACCGCTCCCTTGGCAGCTTGAAGTCCAATGAGGCTGTCTTCAATCACTACACATCGATCAGCAGGAACTCCAATCCTTTTGGCTGCTTCATTGTATATCATGGGTGAGGGTTTCTTCTCCGACACATCATCACCAAGGATGCATACATCCAATTTCTCAATCCTTTCTTGGCCCAGAGTCACTGAGAGAGTCCTTTGAGCGGCTTCCTTGGTTGATGCAGAACACACGCCCACAGCAATCATAGGGTTTGCCAATGCTTCGTCCATCAATTCAAGCACACCTGGCCGGCATACGGCATTTTCTTCTACAAATTTTTTGTAGCGACCGGTTTTGTCGGTTTGTAGGGCATCAATAAGAGCCTGCTGCTCTTCCAGTGTGACGGGAGCAGGTTTTTGACCACTCATGGGGAATGCTTTTGTCGTATTTCGGAAATGAAAAAACATCTTTGGTTTGCCTCCGCCAACGGTGTTCTGCAAGACATCTATGTATGAAGTATGGTATGAATATAACGACAGAATGACAAGATAAGAATGGTTTTGAAACAGCCATGAATGAAACAATATGATGTACATTGCTCACCGTAGTACTCAACCGACCACACCACAGGTTCTCCGTCAATGGTTAGTTCTGCAGCTTCGAATGCTCCATTGTACGCTTGACGATGGAATTCTGTGGAAAAGGCCAAAATGAAATATTTATGAGTGCAGCGTCAGCTGAGAAATACTGAATCATCTCATCATTAACGATACCCACCCTCTGTCTCCAAGATCACTCCATCACAATCGAAAAGCAAGGCATATTCATACTCGCCAGATGGAGCTGCATTATTCTGGAGCAGACGCTGACTTTGGAAGCGAAAGCCTCGGAAAACGGGAGCAAAACCTTGCACTGCAGAAACCCAAAGACAGAAAGCTGCCAAACAGAATTGCTTGCTCCTGAACATGTTGATCTCAACTGTTGACTTCAACAAGCTACCTGTCGCAACGATACAAATTGTTGTGCAAGCTCTCTCTGGCTATTTGCTTTCCCTCATGCATGCATGGTCATCTTCGATCTCCATGGTGAAGAGAAAGCGCAGCGTGTGCACCGCAGCGCTTTGTCTTTCGTCTTTGACTGTGACGTCAGAAGGAGCGCACATTTGATCATCATGATCTCTTCAAAGGTGCCCATTTAGGTCGAGTGAGTCGAATCCCGGTGTCACACAGCTACTTGGTCCCGCAAACATTGCCGCCACTTTTGTCATGGGAGGACAAAATCTACTGTACTGTATGATAGCAGATACATTACTACCATTTACTGGTACTACTTGTATTACAAGCTCTCCAGATTAGATAGGATAGGCTTGTCTACTCGATTCTTGAAGCTACGGTAATCTAACTTGACTTGCTGGTTGTAAGGTTCCTTCTTTGATGTGGGTGGTGGGATTTACTCAGTCGGTTCAGTAGTGGGTCCTGATTAAAGTAACGATGTAACTAACATGTACCGGTACATGTACTTACACTTTGTCGGTTCGTGGAACCAAATTCTGATGATGACTGCAGGCAACAAAATCATACAATGGCAAAGTGCTTCTGACTTGCAGACGAGAGTGCAAAAGCCAATTGCATGCCCAAGGCTAGACTAGAGCTTCAGCCTACCGGTAGCTACTGGCCTGGGACTGGATCTCCTCCTCGGTCTCCTCCGTTGTATCTTTTGGTGGGCTGCATGCTATGCTATAAATCCCGCCCCTGTTACATTTCCCTCGACGAAAGCAGAAAATTGATCAGAAACTATAGGCTAATGAAGCGAAAAACTTTGGAGAGCCGTTTCTTTTTGTAGCCTTCGAAAGATCCGAGCGGGCCAGCTTCCTCCCGCCAACACTATCTAAGTTCAAATTTCCTTAGTAGAGAGACTACGGGACCGCTTTCGCTGACCCCACTTTTTCTGTCTTCTCTCCTCACAAAACGAGTGCACGTACACCAGCACTCCTCTAACACGCTGCGTTGTAACTGTGTTAGAGAGACGCAGAACATTCCGATTAGTTGCGATTGCCATTCCAGCTTTTGTTGCGCGGCCGTTTCCGCTGTTGTGCTTCGTCAGTGTCTGGTTATCGTACGGAGGGTAGATACCCATAGTTTTCTTGGATAATGGGTCCCAACACCATTACCTTTGAAATGGCCCAAAGCGCTCGAGACAAGCTTCAGGCGTCGGCACGTGAAATCTGGACATCCATTCGAAATGAGTCAATGGATAGCTCCAATGGACAAGGACAACCGTCTGCAGACGGTACCATGACGATGTCCTTTGAGAAGATTGAGGCAGTGCTCAAAGCCATGTTCGGTTCCTGTACAACTGGAGTTCCACCGAACAACAATCCACAAGAACCGACAACATGTGCCTTGCCTTGTGAACAAAAGCGATCTAGGAGTACCGGTACCGGTACTAGAAGCAGAGACTTTGTTTCTTCGGAGCATGTGTATGCCCAGCTCTTTGAGGATGATCAGGCCAAGGCTTCCCGGGCCGTGAATGGATTGCGAGAACGGGCCGCTTCTACATCCCCAAGGTCCAAATTTTCCAATCAGTTTCGCGATTTCCCGAAAACAAAGAGCACTCCAACACCCGGACGGTTAACACCGGCTCCACCGCCACCTCCTCCTTCCACTAGGGCTGTCAACATTAGTGCGGATTTGAGTTTTGACGATGGCATTAGCGCAATCAGCGCCAACACGCTCGAAGAAATGGCCAAAGTCCACGAGTTTAGAAACCAAACGAGACTGACCAGCAAGCATGCCATTAGCAATGTGGAGGATATCTCTTATAAACACGCCAACCGATCAAGGCAAAACTCGGAAAGCAAGGTTATCTCACCGCGCCAAGTGCAGTCCATCATGGCACCAGTCAAGTTTACCCGAGGTCCAAGCATGGGTACTCACACAAGCAGAGCCACCAGATCGAGTAAGGGTACCAAGTCAACGAGCTCTACACAGGACTCGGAGTTTGCCAGTGTTTGGCGAAAAGAAGAACGCAAGTATTGGGATGATGTCGTGGCACAGAACAAAGTTATTCAACCTCTAAGTGGGCCGGGGAGGCACCCTGCTACCAAGAAATCGTCGCGGAGACGAAGCCAGTCGGGAAGTTATTCGGTAAGTACAGTACAGAACAGCAGAGTTGGAACGAAAAGAATCTTGACTTTTGGTTTGTTTCTCATCAGCTTCACTTGTTGTTGCACCCGCAGACGAAAGACGTCACCGTCACTACAACCAGTTCATCATCGTTTTCATCGCACCCTCACGATGTCATTCAGTTTGACCGAAAGGATCTTGTTGGTAGCACGAATATCCTCAGTCGCAACGTCCCGTTGTCGTCACTTGATCGAGGCCGCATCCAGACAAGTCTACAAGTTCCATACGACTCAGAACTGGGAGAGATATAGGGGTTCCTTGTTGTATCAGTTGCCACAAACATAGAGTACGTATTGCAAAACTATTTATTATCATAAAGATACATATCAAAACTTTCATATTTTTTTGTACTACATGTATGTTCTTGTCCGAGTTGTTGACAAGCCAACTACATGTCACTACCGATGCTGCGAGCAAGGGATCCAAAGGACGGGAGACATGTCTCTGGTAGAATTAATGCTTCCAAGAGCCTCAATCTAAACATCAATGCAGCAGCCGTAACCAAAGATGCGAACAGACGAGACGCAGCATCCTTCCGCTCGAGCCTCAGGCGAGCCCAATGGCCTTCCAACGCAGACAGACAGTTTGGGCACACCTGCAGAACTAGATCGAGAGCGGATGCAACTGGACCATCAAATGGTTAGGTGATTATTTAACAAAAACAATTATGCGGGTACATTGTAGTCTGAACAACAGAGTTGGTAACAGGGACAAAAAACCTCGGAAGAAATAGCAAAGAACAAGATACATGTACTAGTGGACGAAATGTCAAGTTGTTATAATGCCGAAGCCGCTCTGTTTCCACTCACAACAATGCCTTCCACGATAGACTCAATAGGCTTTCCCATGTAAGAGATTTCAAAAATGTTTCTGATCAACGGAAATTCATCCAATGCCTCCCTTGCTTCCAGCACATCGTAGACTTCCTTGGCAGTCAGGGTCCCTTGGAGTTTCTGGCCATTCAGCAGTTCAGCTTCAATGTCTTCCCAGATTTCCTCGCATGCTTTGTAATCTGATTCCAGAGAATCTCCGACAGTCTGCATTTTCTTTGCAAACGCTTCTGCGCATCGCCGGTTGCGACCTCCGTAGCATGTTGTGATCAAGTCTGCCATTCCACAGCTTTGCATGAATGTGCTGTCCTTGACATCGTCAAAGAACATGCGACAGAATTTGGCCATTTCCTGCAGACCAATTCTGAGAAGTGCAGCTTTTGTGTTCCCGCCAAGTCCAAGGCCATCAACGAAACCAGCACCAAGCGCAATGATATTTTTTAGCGCACCACACGCTTCAGCACCACCTACATCATCAATGTGCTGAACTCGGAAATTTGGAGAATCAAAGACCAGCCGAGTAAGCTCATCTGCAGGAGGTCCAAACTTGGATGCCAGAGTGGATTCACACATCTGTCCCATGGCCACCTCGGACGCAACATTGGCTCCCATGAGGACGCCACACTGGAAGTAAGGTCCCATAGCATCCTCGATAGACTTGGAAATGAGTACTGGCAGTTTTGACTCTTGATCGAAATCTGGGAGCAGGTGAGTACTGGTAGAAAGAAAATTTAAAGACTCGACCATAGAATATCCTTGGCAACACAACCCACTCACCAAGACCTTTGATCAGACTAACTCCTCGGCAGGATGGATGAGCATTGGTTTTGACAATAGGAAGCAGCTTTGGCAAGAATTGGTGTGGCAAGACAAAGATAAGAAGTGTAGCATCTTCGCAGGCATTGGCCAGATCAGGAACAGCCACGACGTTCTTGGGCAGCTGAATACCTGGAAGGTACTTGACATTTTCATGGCGTGTATTGATAATCTCTGTGAGCTTTCTGTCTGCTCCATCTTCGTCCTTGACCATTTCCTCGAAGACCCACATGTTCACAGTAGATTCAAAGTGATCAAGTCGTTTGCAGTTACGGCCTACCAACTTTGCAATGGCACTGCCCCAATTCCCGCTTCCTGAATTGAATGGAATTGTTTGTTGTCGATCGTCATTGGCAAAAACGGACCCGTGAGCTCGCAAACATGTTGGATCAGCCTAATCGCTGGAGTGCTAATCAAGCAAAACCTTACCGACGATGCATACTCTGTCGAGTTGCTCTTCACTGTTCTGGGGGTTGGAGTTCATCATGGTTGGACTGCTTTGGGAGTGCGAATTAATGAAATGAAAAATGGAATGAAACCTCGAGATGCCCAAGAAGAAAAAAATATGGCACTTTGGGTTGAATTGATGGTATCTTTCGGCCGGTGTGCATACAGTCTGTAGTGAATTTGATGGCAAGGAGCCAGCCTCCCTGCGCAAGATACCTTTTTTCCTTTTGCATTCGTACCGTGTGTTTGACTCAATGAACAATCAGAACATGAGAGTTTCTTTAAGTCTTTTCTTAACTCACTGTCATTTCTGGCAGCACAACTAAAAGGTTTGGCGGTCGTCTTTCTGTCATTTTCTGAACGACTCTACCAAACAGGACGGTAAGCTCAGATTAGCGTTCTGAGAACTCACCATCAAATTCGGTGCTGACGTTACCAGTTCTTAACCCTAATCGACCACAAAGTCATTGTCAGTCTCTTGGGGTTTGGGACCTCGAGAACCGCGGAAGTGGCTTCCTTCACCCTAAATAAACGGGACTCACTATCAAAGCTCTTTTGTGATTGATTTTAAGTCACGAATTCAAATTGTCGAAAACGTTAACTTACTTTTAAGAATCTGATCCCAACATCCAAGATTGGCTCAGCCGTTTTACATTGCCACGAGACGTTCCGCTTTGTGGTGCCATTATCGAGATGAGATTGGGACATCCGATGGAGCAGACTGGTGCCAGCTCTGGTGCCCAAGGTCGTCAACCACGAACGTTTGTGATTGGCTGGTGCGAGAGGCGACAGGTGGACCCATTGCCGTTCTGGAACCCCTAGCTACCATGCATGAGTGGTGGTGGTGGTGGTATGGTATCTTTTAAAATAAAGTTTGTTTGCTCTGGTTTGTACGCGTCTGCAAAATGAATGACTTGTGACTACGTTCGGTCCCAGCAAAACCTCAGTGTTGGATTACTAATAGCTTAGCTCGAGCACACCGCAACTCTACTAGTAGCTACTAGCTAGAGGTAGTAAATGATGATACTGTAGATGCCGTACCGTAACCGTAACGGTACGGTAGGTGTCACTGTGGATGTATCAATTGCCACTGACGGCATGCAGGACCAACTTCGGAGTTTGCAGGGCCGTTTGCTCCAAAAATTATGTTTAACAGCCCGGCGCATCAAAGAATTATGTCTATTCGCGTTCGCAACAAATTAGTATAAATCTGTCAAGGCACCATCTAAATGTACAACCAGATCGTCAAACAAAGGCTTAACGAACGCACCAAAATCTTTCGGGGCTGCGCAGGGTGAAGACTAAACTATAAAGCCAGTCCAGTCAAGCCACTACATCCAATATTCTATTGTTGAGTCTTACGACTTATCGAAGCTACCATAGCCATCACTGCAACAAACAGGAAATTTTTGTGAAACACCACAAACTCCAAAAGCAAAAAGCAGAAACGCACCACAACTTCCGGGGTTATAATACTGCAACAACAAGGTGCAACCGCATAACATCCCTTCATCCTCATCGTCTGATTGATCAATTCATTCGATTAACAAAACGAAACCAAAACAAAAAAGAACAATAGAACATGACATCTTCAACTGCTACAAGCACCGCTACAAGCAAGAGAAAGGCTCTGGAGCAAAAAATCCGGAACAATGAACCCATCCTACAGGACGTTGGAAGACTCGGCCAAAATGACTACCTCTCTCTGCCGCCGGTACCGTAACTCCATACTTCATAGCACGGCACAGTAGTATTACTGAGGTGAAACCTTTGTGGATGGCGACGTCCCAGCACCACGTCCAACGAAGCATTCGAAATTCCAAACCCACTCGTCCCCTCCTTGTGGTGGCGTCCATGATGCATGCGGAGGTTCTGAAGCCACGGCAAAAACTGCGTCGCCACGAAAGTGCTGTAGGCACTACCATCCTCGTAGCTCGTTGCTTTCAAATGCAAGTTGTGAATAGAGTAATGCGTCAAATCGTAAAACAGATATCCCGTCATGAAGCCTCCCATGAAACAGTTTGCCGCCGCCCGGCCCAACAGCATGTTAGGCGGAATGGACAGGATGCACGCAATGGCCGCCGCAGGCAGGGGAGGGAAGACCAACCGGAGCTTGTCGGTGGGACAGACGTGATGGTTGCCGTGCAACAAAAAGTGGATGATATTGGCCCAGTAGGTTTCCGTGTGGGCGTGAAAGACAAACCGGTGCAAGGTGTATTCCAAACCGGGCCAAAACAAGAAGCCCGACGCGAACAAGACAGTCGTGTCGAGGGAACTAAAGCCAGGAGACACCGTCAGGTAACAGATGATGGGAATCCAAACCAACGGAGCGGTCCACCAAGGACACTTTGTGAGGGCATTCACAACTTTGGATTCGAAAAAGGTGACGGGGGTGCTGACGCGGTACTCGTGGACCCATGCTTGATAGTCCTTG